CTGTAGCATTTTGGCTAGGCTGGCAGGTTAGGAGATGCAGCCTCTTGACTAGATCTCGGCATGTGTTTGCGGAGCATCCACCCTACATTAGCTCTCTGTCCCAAATGCTTCAGGCTGAACTAGGCTTTGGGCCATCTGCAGAAACACTGATTTATCGCAAGGCCTGTTCTTCAGAATGCAAAGTTAAAACCCAGGCACAGCTGAATAGTTTTGCACATTTGTGGGAAAACAGTTTTAAATGCTGGACGTGCACATGGTGGGCATGTCGTGAGCGGAGCCGGTTGGAGCTGGGGTCAGATTAGATGGCCTGGGAGACCCCTTCTGACTCGCTCTGTTTCTGTGTTTCTAAATTGTGCAAATTGTTTGCTCATACCTTATTCAGATAAGCCGGTCTGTTCTCCTGGAAGATTGCTGTGTGTCCTGTGCATGGCACTGCCAGGCGACCCAGTTCCGTAGTACATGATGTGACCAATGTAATCTCTGTAGGGAACACTTAATCTATGAGAAGGTTTACCGTGGTTTTAATACTAGTTGTGTACCTACCTACTAGGAAAGCCTGCTTGGTCAGAAATTTCATTCAGCTCCCCTGCAATTTGGATTGCTCTGCTGATGAGAAAGAACAGATTCCTCATAAACGTCCATTTGGGGCCAGCTGTTGCTTGCTTACTATATTTTCCTGGGATGAGAAAGAAACCTTTTCTGTAAGCAAAAGGAGGGTGTCTTGGGACTCTCCCTGGAATATGAAAATGCAGCCAAGAGTTTACAATATTGAAGAACACTTTATTAGTTCTAAGCCAGTGATCCAAACCTCAGCCTTCCTTCAAATCGTTAATGGGAGCCAGAAAATTTCAGTCTGACAATCAGCAGGATTGATAGTAAGTGCTGAAGTTCTGCAGTGATGGCATGTGCTGGCAGGAAGGGGCTGTGATAGTTGCCTCTCTTCACACAGCACTGCCGGTTCCCTGTGAAATCCCTCTCTTGAGCAGCAAGAGCAAAGCACACATTCATTCATTCATTCAGTTTGTATGCCACACCGCTAGCAATAGGCTCTCTGGGTGGCTCACATCATTAAAATCCATACAATAGACATAATATAAAACACACAAGACAATAGATAATACCAACAACCCTAAAATCATAATGCTATCAAAATCCAGTAAAAACAGAATACACAACATAAATACAATCTGTGAACGTACCCCAAAGATCAAACAAGACCATTAAAATTAATATTGTAATGGGTTAGCAATTAACAAATATTAAAACGGCAGCAACAAGGGTCCTCTACTCAAACAGCTGAGGGACAGATATGCCATTGGTTGGTGCCTAAAGGGCAAAAGGGTAGGGGCCACCCATTTCTGCAGTGGGATTGAGTTCCAGAGTGTGGGCGCCATGCTCGAGAAAGCTCTCCTCCTTGCGCACCCCCCCACTTCATTGTGGGGGGAACACAAGAGGAGGGCTTCAGGTGAAGACCACAGTGACCGGGCTGGTATGTGGGGAGAGGCGTTCCAAGCCCTTTCGCACAAGCAGCCATGCTTGTGAGCTTACAGACTCAATAGGATACTGCCCCCCAGGCCAGCCTGTGCAGCGTAAGATCACCCCGTGCTGTAATATACCTGGCAGAGCTCTTCCGGGTGCCCTCTTTGCAGGGTGCCTGGGTGCCCAGCTTGCTGTTCTTCACCATGCTATGCAAAACCAGGAGACAAGGGTCGTTTGAGGTTTAGGCAACTCGCAGATAATCTTAAAACAAGCCATGGGTTATTTTGTCTAACTCTCAATCCGCACCCGCAAGGTGGGTTGTGTGGGGTCAGGCACAAACTGGACACAGTGTTGCATTATCTGCAGTCACAGTGGGATGGCGTGTTGTGCAAACTAGGTCGACAATTCTCAGGGTGACAAAGAACGATATATATAACAACAATACAAACTACAATGGTGACAAAGAACAGGTGCATCTGGATAGCAACCAGAGGCTTTGATCTAGTGCTTAAACCAGGCACACGCCTTGTTTGGCTGTCCAGATGTTTGGGCCTGCAGCTCTCATGATCTCCCACCCTTGGCTGGGCTGGCTTGGGGTGCCGTTTTGTAGGCCAGCACATCTGGAGGGCTGAATTTGCCCATCAGTGCCTCAAGCAAGGGGGGCAAACACAAAAGCCCTAGGGCATCAACAATACTGAAAGCGTGGCCTTTGCTCAAGAGCTTCTGACACAGATGTCATGGGTAGGTTGAGTGCCACGAGGCCGAGGCCCTCTCCCGGCAGCCCTGAGAGCGGATGGGCAGAGGAAGAGCTGCAGTGGTGATCTCACTGATGCAGAGAGCCGGTGTGTGAGAAGGCAGCCCAAAGCTCAGTTGGCCCCAAGGCATACAGGGCCCTGGAGGTCCACACAGCCCTCTGACTTGGGTTGAAAGCCAACTGGCAAGAAACAAAAGCGGTCACCCTGCTTGTGAAGCTTGCCCTGGCTGCACACGGGCAGCTGCCTGCATTTAGGGTCCATTAGAGCATCTCTGCCTTTTTCAAAGTCATTCACTGGGAAAGAAGTAAATGGCTTTCAAATTACCACATGTGACATCAGTGCCTCATCCACTCGTACTTCACCGTGCTACTAATCATGGCACGTACAGCAAACTTACCAACTAGACTTCGTACCGAAGCATTTGAGTTCAGTTCTGTAAAATGCTGAGGCCACCCAGGTTTGTGTCCCTGTCAGTCTGAGGCTGGTCTGTCTCATGGAATTGCCTGTGGCCAGGAGTGGTTCAGCCCTGTTGGTGTATTTTTGCTTGGTTTGCCTCTCTTCTCCTAAATCTAAGCGTGAAACAAAAGTGAATGTGATTGCATGCAATTGCATTTCCTTGCCTCACAACTAGAGAGGTGGTGGTGTTTTTATACAAGGCCTGTTTGGCAACACTTGCCTAAGATTTGGTTCTACTAACATTTGAGATTTATGTTGGAAAACCAAATTCAGGGGCATGTATTTACTGTCGCTAGACCCTTTCAAGGATATTGTGTTGCAATGCTTGAATAGACTCCTTTAATGGATTACATTTGCATCTGCCTTTCTGTCGAAGAGTGTTCAAGAGGGCTAACAACACAAATAAAATACCATACAGCAATAACATAGAAAGATTTAAAAACAAGGCAAGTGAAACATTAATTAAAATAACTGATTAGAACCAGTGACTTGATATTTGCATGCTGGCTTGTAAATGGGTGAAAAACTTGTCTCGATATCTCTCTGCCTGCCAGTGGAGTCAGCTGGGCCTTCTTTATCTGTATCAAATTATTTGTTTGATAATTCCAGTTAATTTTTCATGCCTTTTTGTGTTGGCTGCCAAGTGGTCAGAGGTTGAGCATCTGATGCAGGAAACCTTGAAATTCTATATCCGGGGATGAGTGTCTACGCCAGACTTTCACTTTGTTCCAAGTATCACATCGAATGCATTCGTTGCAATGGGCCACCGGTTGAATCGCAGTGGCCCAGTAGCCAGTTTCTGCTCTCAGCTTTGCTGCCACATGTGTGGTTCTCGTTCGAGCTGGAGGCTGGCGGAAGCCCAGGTGTTGCAGACAGCCACCCAAAGGTGATGTGTGTTCTGAGCAGCTCAGCCACGTTGTGGTAGCAGCAGAAGCCCGAAGGAAGTGGGCAGAGCTGCTATTCATCTCTCCCCGCCTGTATTTGCAGAAGTAGCAGCTAGCAAGCAAATCCCTTCGAGCAGAAGGGCTGCATTCCCAAGACCGCTCCTGGCCCGAGCTGGCTTGGCCCGCTCCAGTTGCAGCAGCAGCACTTGTTCCCACCTGTGGGAAGGTGCAGCAGCAGGTGGGGCGGGGGCTTATCCAGCTCTCCCGGCCACTGGGCTCCAGATCTTTTGGCCTTCAGCTCCACCATCACCTCCACTGCACTACACAGGCTGGAGCTAATGCGAGGTGTAGGCAAGAACTTCTGGAGCGCCACGAGTCACCCACCTACCTCTGCAGGCCTGCATTTCAGTTTAAACATAAAGCTTCCCTAACCCTGATACCGCAGGTCTTAATCTGTGCTTGGTTGATGGCATCTGCAGGGCCTTTGGATCCTGAGACTAACCAACCCAGCATGCTTCACTGAAGTGGGATGCATGGCCAAACCCGCTTCCCCCCATTTTCTTATCACTGAGGTTGTGGACGTTGTGCCTTTCCTTGTGGGGCTTACCTTTCGCTGAGATGCGAAGCAGCAATTTTATAATTACATTGGAAACCCTCAGTTGATCAGGGCTAGTCTCTTAAAAAGCCAATAGAACAGAGTGGGCCAAAGTTTTCCATTCACAAAACTGGTCTTTAAAAGAAATTTTGTCACTTTTGGCTGTTGGGGGGAATTTAGCCCGGTGCCCACAGGAGGATTTGGACTACACCTGTAATCACTGCTCAGTGGCCATCCTGGATCGGGTTGCAGGAACTGGCACACAAGCCCATTCTGTGCTCCAATGAGGAAGTCTGCTTTTGGGCAGCCTGAGATGCAAAACGGCAGTTTGTCCCCACTTTCAAGCTATCCTGACCCCTGGACAGGAAATGACTCGTTGCTAAAGGAGCAGAGGAATTTGGCCCGAGCATCTGCCTTTGCTGCCTCTATCCTGCACGTGGGGGTGCTGAAGGCAGAGTAAGCTCACGCCCACTTGGGGATGCCCGTATGAAGTAGCCTCACATTGAGCGAGAGCAACAGCCATGCCAGCAGAGTTCCCCGGTTTGGTCCATATGTGCTTGTCTTGCTGCACAGACAGCTATGCTGAGATGGGTCCGTGATGCCTGCCCACTGCAGGCAAGCCGTACGCACCAGACTCGTCCAAGAGCAGAACAAAGAGCAACACCCAGGCTCTTCCTTCTTTTTTCTCGCAAGCTGCTGTACTTGCTTGCTGTACTGTTCTCTGAAATGGGTATAAGAGCACATCATGTCGAGGACTAAGTGAGCTTTTAGAGGCTAGCAGCCCCCTTTGGCATGAAAATCTAATGCTCTGATATTTTTTCTCTCATACAGGTACAGGAGAAATGGTCGCCATCATGATTAGCTATTTGAAAGGCAAAGAAATCCTTCGTAGGATCGAAAGTGGCTACGAAGTGACTATGATTATTGAGGTGGGGAAAAAGCAGGGCTCGTGGATGAACAGCTATTCCATCTTCTTTGTTTCGGTGTCCTTCTTCATTGTGACGGCAGCCACTGTGGGATACTTCATATTTTATTCTGCCCGAAGGCTTCGGCTCGCAAGGGCTCAGAACAGGAGGCAGGTGGGTTTCTTCTCCATTGATATTTATTTCCATTCATTTATTTATTTATACCTCCACTGGTATGTTGCCTGCTACCGAAGTCTCAAGGAGGCTTACAATAAAAGATACAGACACATACAGTGTGCATGCTGCCCTGCCCACCAGCATGCTTGCCCTAGCCTTGCCGTTGCCGGCTTCCCTCCTCTTGTTTACTGATGTGCAAATTCTCAGGATTTACATTACAAAAACCTGGCAGCACCAACCAGAGTCACACAGATGATTCCCCAAGATGTTCTTGTTGGTCCTGCCGCCTTAGGAAGGCCTTCCGGCGGTTGCCCTGACTCAGGGTGGGGATGGGTGGGAAGAGGAGACTGGCTTGTTGGGCCCAGCTGGGGTCCAGTTCCCAACCTCCCATGGTTTCCCTGGGTGAGTGTTCCTTGGGCACTGCTTGATCTTGCAGTCTGAACAGGTACAGTCCACTGCAGAACAAGCCCTACGTTTTCATGAGATGAGTTGCCTCAGGTTCCCAAAGACAGGGCCCTCTTAGGAAATGCTTAAGTTTGAGAAAGCCCTCTTGCTTCATATTTCTGGAAAGAGCATTAGCTTAGGAGCTCTACAGTGGCTTTGCCCTGGTCCGCTCACTCACAAGTGGCATCTTTGTTTGGAGCCGAAGCTTGTGGTCAGCACTGCCTTCTGCTGTAATTTTCTCTTTGTTGGCAACGTTTTTTTCCTTGCACATCCCAAACTCACAGCAGGCTCTTTGCTTCTAGACATTTGTAGGATAGGTAGACATTTCTTCTTTCACCAAACGGTCCAGAGATGGATGAATGGAGAACGACAGCTGCTGCTTTACCTCCGTCAACTTCAGCTAGCACAGGACATAATCTCTGCAGGAAAAGAAATCATTGTAATCGCATTCAGACAGAGTCACATCCTTATAGTTAACTTTATAGAAGCCTAAGCAACTTCTGCTTAGCTTTGTTTTGTGCTGTTTACAGACTGAGAATGTAGTTGCCTTAGCTTCTAAAAACACAGTTTGGGGAATTGGTCATTAGTCAAGTCTCTCTGGAGGTATTTCTCACTCATGCAAAGCCCAGGAAGCCATGCGGATAGAGAACACAAGCTGCCTCCCGGTTTCCCGTTGATATTTCTAATAAATTAGAAATTTGTCCAAAGCTTCTGATCTGGCAAAGGGGTTCTTTTAACGTCTGGGATTCTGGAACCTACAGGGTGTAGGATGCAACAATTGAAGCACCTCTTTTAGGCTTGTCTAAGTGCTTGCCCACTTGGTTCTGGCAAGTAAGAACTGAAACTGGATTGGGAACTTGTCTTTGAACCATTAGTGTTGATCTGGTCTGCAAGGCCGACCAAGTCCCACTGTCCCAACTGCAAGGTGCTCTGATTATCAAGCAAATGAAACCAGGAAACAGAAGGAAAATGCCAATGATTATGATATCAGTGATTTGCATAGCTGTAGGACAAATAATGTCATGATGATACGGATATGAACTGTTTGGAGTTTGCAAGTACCAACTTCTAGATTTCAAGCTCTGACATCATGTGCCAGTATGGGAAATGTACTTGTCTTTGCCCCACTGAAATCTAAATGTTTATGGAAAATGCAGTTATTAATTCTGCTTAGCTCAATTTCTTTTGCCAGCCTAATAATATTATAATGAGAGGCTGAAGAGGAGAAAATCTTTCCATGTATCTTGAATTTTTTAGTATTTTCCATGCAGTCATCTTTGCATTTTCCATTATAGTAATTAAATTCTCCTCTCAAGTATGCCATTCATGCAAGAAGGAGCAATTTAGGACGCCGAGTAGAAATCACAGGAGGACTCGCATACTTCCTGGATGCATTTAATTAATCTTGTTCAGGCTTCCTGATTTTTTGACTGGCAGGTGTGTTTGTCTTGTAATTGGTTTTTCAGTGTGTTGGTCTCATTCTGGCTGTGAATAAACCTTGTCATAACAAGCTTCCATTTTTTCCTCTAAAGTCAGTTAATTACATACCTTCTCCTTTTTTTAAGTATATAGGCACCTGAGTGCACATCTCTTCTTCAAGACCATTCAATGAATGCTGCAGTTCCCTGATGCGTTTTTGCTAGGGATTGCTCAGTCAGTATCATTGAAGAGTTTCTGTGAACAAGGCATAAGTGGGAACAGCTGTTCCTCAGCCCACACCTACCCGAAAATTGGAGCAAAATCAGTATATTTTTTCTAGTTTTTCCCACCCTAAATGGGCCTGACTTCTCAAGATGCTTCCTTCACTTCAGGCGTCTTGCCAGCTCAGGCCCTTCCAGTGCATAATTACAGCTTTTCTCTTGTTTTTTCTCATCCAGACTCAGATTAGTTTTGTGATGCCAAATGAGTCGTATTCTGCAAAATGCATTCATGGTGGCTCACCATGTTTACAGCCTCTTAAAAGGATGTGACTCTTTAAGGCTCATTATAGGTCTATGACAATTCATCTCTAAAATAAATGAGAGACAGTTTCCGTTCTCCTGTGTGCTGATAGAGGACTGCCAGTAGAAGAATCATTTAAAGCCTGGCTGTTTGTGCCCAATTTAACCGTAGCAGTTAATTTGAGCAATGTGTATGTAAGCCGTGTGGGGAGATTAGGTCACGTCACTGCCTGTTGGCTTCCAGTTCGAGGGCCTAAAACATGCAGAAAGCAGAAAACAACTTGCTGGTCGGGCTGCTTCAGGAAGGGGGCTGCCTTTCTCCTAGTAGCAACAGGTGATCTCTTAATACATAAACATGTATTTGTTTTGGCATCATGCTCCCGTGGCTGCCCTGAAGGAAGACACAAATCTTCAGAGAGAGACAGAGAGACAGAGAGACAGAGAGAGAGAGAGAGAGAGAGACAGAGAGAGTCAAAGCAGCAGAGAGAAACTTTCCCGGAGAGGCAGAAGTAGTGCGCAGGGCGACTCTTTCCCCTGTTCCCCTTTGTCTCACGATGGTCAAACAAGCTTGCAGAATGTTCGCAGTGCTCTGTCATTTCTGGGGCTCGTAGTGGGTCAGAAGCTTCGTTTACCACGTCACTGAAATCTCTGAAAAAGCACTCTCTTTGTGGATCATAAAGGCAGTAAAAGATTGTAGCCTTCTCTATGCCCGTTGCTGTAACTGAGATCCGTTTCCTTGCAGTGAGTGAATCAGAAGGCAGTGAACTGAACCCTTTTAAAAACGAACCAACCTTTTGTCCGCACTTCTCCAGATGCTATACTGGCTCTTATACCAGCCACCTTGTGTTTCTGGAGGAACAATCCAAATGTCCTATGAGTACAATTTCAGTTACCCACGCTTGTGATACTTCTTTAATTGAAAGTTATTGATGCGCTGTCTAATCAATGAATGGTCAGCACAGGTGTTTCTAGCATGCCAGTGTACTGATGTGGCATCTGTGCCGGTTTCACTGGGACACAGTTCCTTGTACTGCCCAGAGTTTCAGTTGTTGCTTCAGGGTATCAAACACAGAGCTTTCCCAGTCTGCACTGTTTGAGGAGATTGGTTCAGATCAGTCCAGTGGTGACTCAGTTGAACTGGATACAGACTTAGCTGCAACTTGAAAGAGCAAAATTGCAGAAACTTTTGCTCTTTCAAAAGTTTCTTTGCAAAATTGAGAGCCCTCTTTAAAGATCTTCCAAATATTGTGTTAGTAATTGGCAAACTTAACCTTCATAAGAAGGCTCTTCTGAAAACATGTGACCAGTTTTTGGAACTTTTTCTCCAATTTCCTTTAGGCAGAATGATAAACAGGCATTACCTGCTAAATAAACTCTGTAATGAATGCTTAGCAAACGCTCTGATGCAATTGTACACGAGTATCTTGCCTTAAAATTACCTTGTGATTAATTCTACAAAGCAGTAGTTCTCCACCTGTCTCAAGGAAGACTCTGCCCATTGTTAATGAATTGCATCACAGTTGGGTTTTGGGGAGAACAAGTCCGATATTGACCTAGAGTTTGTCTGTTACAGAAACGCCTGAAAGCGGATGCCAAAAAAGCAATCCAACAGCTTCAGCTGCGCACACTGAAACAGGGAGACAAGGTATAGTGCCCACGAACGGGGCAGGGGGCCCACCCTGTTCTGGATGGAGTTGCGGTACTCGAAAGGAGAAGGCACTCTGCTCGGAGCTGGCGTTGGACCTGTTGCCTTTTCTGAGCTCTGAGGTGGCTTTAGCTTGCTATGGGTACGATAAGCCAGCTGGGGATTCTTCTAGAGAAGATGGATTTGGCCACCTTGGGCGTCAGTGCTGTCTGTTTAGGGCTTCCTTGAAAACCCCCCAGTTACGCCAGTTGGTCCAAAACAAAAATTCAACTTTTGTTTGGTATCCAGTAATTGGATAGAACTCCAGTTTTATATCAGCATGGCTGTTCATTGTTTCTAGACTCAGCTTAAAGTGCTAGTCTTAGGCTTAAAAGCTTCTAATGGTCTAGGACCTGGTCACCTGAAGGACAGATGCCTCCCCTATAGACCTGTCTGAGTCTTAAGATCAGCTTCAGTGACCTTGCTCTCTGTACCATCTTCTCAGGTGGGTATAAGAGCACACGAAGCAGGGCCCTTTTGGTGGTGGCTTGTGTATTGTTTGAAATTGTTTTTCATGTTCTACTTTAAAAATACTATGTCTGAAGCTATACTGAGTTCTCTATGGTATGGTTGGTGTTCCAGTAAAGACCTTCAGTATATGCATAAATTGTTCCCTTCACAGCGCTGGTTGAAGCTTATAAACTTGTCACAATAGCTGAGAGTCACACAAATAAATGGGGAATGATAGTTTGATTCAGATGGCCTATTAGTGTTGAATGGCCCCAGCTTTGGAGGCATGGGAATGCTATCTTAGTTTTTAAAGAAATCACAGTTACCCTGCAACTTCAGAAGCAATATAAGGTTGCATTTTTACTATTTTAAACCTAGAGTGAATTCATTAAGAACAGCTTTGGGTAATGCTGCAGGCTGCACCCTTTCAGGCTTGGTGCCTGTGCACTTCTGTAGATTCTGTTCTCAGCCCCACCCTGTCTATGGCTTATGATCGAGAATGAGCCTGTACTCACATCATCACCTAAAGTGCCACGTCCGGAGATAGCTTTTTGCGCCCTGTCCTGGGACCATCGGCAGCATCGCAGTTGTCAGACTGGCTGCACGCAGGTTACAGACAAGATCACTAACAAGGGCAAATTTTTCTTTTCTCTTGTAGGAAACCGGTCCTGATGCAGATAACTGTGCTGTGTGCATTGAAGTATACAAGCCAAATGACGTTGTACGAATTTTAATATGCAAGTAGGTTGCATTTTTGCTCCTCTCCCCTCCTAGTTATGTTCCCGTATTAAATGACTGGTTATTTTCATCCTCCCCTTCATGATATGCTCACAGGTTCATGCTGTAAAGGCCTATTTCTTCATTCATCTTCTTAAAGCATATCCTGCCATCTAGCTGAAGCAGGTGGAGGTCAGTTTTGCAGTGCTGTGGATCATGTCCATGTGCCATGAGAGCTGACAAACCCCAAATCTTATTTTGTGATTGGCTCTGAAGCGGCAGTCCCCATGGCCCCAACATCTGCCTGTTTTAGAAACTTCTCCGTTTCTTCCCTACCCTGCTTTTTTGGACCACCTAATCCAAAAAAATGGTTTGGATAGCTTAAAGATTGCAGCTGCTTGTAGCATCACTTGGTCCTAGTGAATGTGTCAGGTTATTTTCCTCCTGGGTTAGCATGGCTGTTTTTTATTATTTTATGGCTTTTTGGCATGTTCTTCCTCTCAGTAAAATACAATAAAATTTACTCTATGTCCTGAGGTCATCCATTTTTCTCCAGCTGATATTATTGGTTGGAGAGAGGGAAGCTTTGCTATACTTTATTTGTGGACTTCCTATCCCTGAAAACAGGGGTGCCGTTTTCAATGGCTACTCCTTGTTTACATTTGGGTGTAAGCTCAGAGAATAGCTGAGGAGCCTGACTCTGACTCATACTTAAGTGGAATATCTACAGGTGTAAAAGCTGTACATTTGGCCTTAACTTTTAGGCTAATTTTAATATCAGGATCTGATGTACAAATGTTAATTTTGAATCGATGATCCTTAAGCTTTAACTTTCAACATGGGGCCAAGAACTGTGTTTATAGTAGCTTTATGTAACAAATGGCTTTGCATCTCTGTGGAGTCACAGCGACAGTCAAAAATAGCAGCGTTCGCAGGGCACGATTGCCTGGGCTGATTTGTCTTGGACACAGAATGCCAAGGGAGGAGTGGTGACCCATATCATGATTGTGAGACTTGAGGAAGTAGCTTTATTTCTTCCACTCAAGTTAAAAAGTGACTTTGAATGTGCTGTGAATGGTTAATATTCTAGTGGCAGATCTATAAAACAGACCCCCTGTTGTGTCCAGGTGCTATTGTGCTGTAGGCTGATCTTTACATTAAATAAGAAAATTACTGAAGAAATGGCAAACTGTAGAAAAGATTCTTTGGGGTGGGCAAAGACATCCAAATGCTTGCTTGTTTTCTCATGCTTTCTCGAGCCACAAAACCCCCCATCCCGTTGGCCACTGTGCTTGGGTAACTGCTTGTGGGTCTCAGAAAACAAATGCAATGCAGCATTACGGTTTTCTGTGGGAGCTCAGAGTCCTTTTCTGCAGAGGGAGGTGTCTGCATGATTTACGGCTGTAACCTTCACTTCCACGACCTGTGCTAATTCTGCCACATGTCTCGATCGGGTGGGTACAGTTTGATTGGTCAGTGACATCCAGCATCGCAGAGGAGCACAACTAGAAAAGTGCGATGCACACACACGTAGGTTGAGATGCTCTGTGTGCATACTGGAAGTTCATCCTCTTGCACTTTCTCAACGTAAACCTTTTTGAATGCAAGTGCGCTTCAGTGATCAGAATACCAGGAAACTGTATTACTCATAGGCAAACCATTTTTACAAAACTCTGTTCTTTGGGCAAACTTGTTGATCATGTCTTATGAAATCCATGGTGGTTTGACATGCCCTAAAGGTGCAATCTTGTGCATGTTATGGCACAGACTCTCTGCACTTCCCAGCCAGCATGGTCTGCACTTTTAATGTATTAAATGCTGCCTGCTCTTGAGCAGAGTTTAGAGGACCCCCTTTTTTAGCAATTTACATACAGTATAATATTTGTAAATGGGAGCTACATGTTCAGGTTTGGTTGAAATATTTAGAAAATGGTGATGACCGTATATCTTTAAGATGCGAATGGCCAGATGGGAGCCCTGGATGGTGGAGAAATTAGGTGGATGCTTGCCAGATGCCATTCCCAATGCAAGTTGGATTGCGCATGTATTATTTATTTTATATTTATTTATTTATATTGCAATTTATATCGTGCCCTTTTCCTACAAAGGGCTCAAGGCAGCTTACATCATTCTCCTCCTCCATCTTATCCCCACAACAACAGCCCTGTGAGGTAGGTTGGGCTGAGAGTCTGTGACTGGCCCAAAGTCACCCAGTTGGCTCCATGGCTGAGTGGGGACTAGAACCCAGAACGTCTGAGTCCCAGTCCCAGCTCTTAACCACTACGCCACACTGGCTCTCTTTATTGAAGCTGGCCTTCTGATGGTGCCTGACTACCCTTTTCAAGATCCAACTCCCTTTCCAAAGTGGAATGCAAAGGAGAGGTCAAGCACTTTAAAACACAAGCAGAACAATATCAAAACTGAAACAGGAAACACAGCCACAAACGTGTGTACAGGCTAATTTCCAGCACTGGAACAATATAAGACTCTTGACCTGCTTCTGAAGTGCCCTTAGACACATGAAAAACTTGTGGAAGAGAATTCCATCACTCTGGGGTGGGAACTGAAAGAGCCTACAAGGTTAAGAAGTCCAGCACGAAAGCAGCTAGTTGTCTTCCTTTGATTCTTGCTGTATTTCGATCTAGATCTAATGAGGAAAGGTGTGAGGGCCACTGACTGAGCTGGTCCCCTGAAGACAAAAGCTCATCCAAGCACACCTTCAATCCCTGGCCATTCTCATGCAGACGTCTTGCTTTTGTGTGTAAACACCTGCTGTTTCCTCCTAGTTCTCTATCACTACCTGTTTGCCTTCATTGCAGTCTTCCCATTGTTCCTTAAATTCCACAAAGCTTATGTAGTTGTTTTTCTCTTTAAAATGCTATTGTAACACTAAAAAGGTCAAACGGTTAATTGTTCAGTGTTTGTGTTGCTCTGGGTACTTGTTTAAAGTTCCAGACACTTCAAAACAATGCCAGTTGCTTGAACTTTTTGTAACCAGAGTTGCTTTCGTCTGCTGAGCCTTGGTATAAGTTACCCCCCTCCCCTCTCTCTCTTTCCAGCCATGTCTTTCACAAAAACTGTATCGATCCATGGCTGCTGGAGCATCGGACGTGCCCCATGTGCAAATGTGACATACTCAAGGCCCTGGGCATTGAGGTAAACCCGTGATCTCTGCTCTCTGCTGCTTCTGCAGTTTACGCAGTAAAGTAGTTGACTGCCTCAGTAAACTTGAGGAGATATTTAAGCCAAGTAAGGAGACCAGTTCTGTTTGTCAGTTACCAGACAAACATATGCACATCTCTGTGTTTTCTCCTGTTCTTCCTCACTGGTGAACAAATTTCCTTGCTAAACATTTGGTTGAACGTAAGATCAAAGAAAAGCCCTGCTGGATCAGACCCAAGGCCCACTAGTCCAGCGCTCCATACAGACAGGAGCAAGCCAGCTGCCCACCGGATCCCTCCAGGCCTCCCCGCCCAAGCCCCTCGGCAGCTGGTCTGTGCAGGCGTGCCCCCTCCGGCAAAGGAGTAGCCCGTGGCTGGCGAGGCTGGCAGCCACTGGTAGCCTCCTCCCTTATGAATCTGCCCAATCCCCTTGTAAAGCCAGCCGGACTGGCAGCAAATTCCTAGTTTAACTCTGCTGGGTGAAGAAGGACTTCCTTTGATCTGTCCTAAACCTCCCACCAATCAGCTTCATGGGATGATCCCGGGTTCAAGTGTTATGGGGGAGGAAGAACAATTTATTGATCTAGTTTCTGTCCAAGGACAAACGAGAGAGAGCTGAGGCCAGGTAGCTTGCTGCTTTGTTGAAAAAATGACGTTACAGTGGACTGCCTGTCTTCAAATCCGCTCGGCACAGGTGGATGTGGAAGACCAAGAAGAGTCTTTCCAACCCTCAGTGTCCAATGGACCCTCTAACATCCCTTCAGTTAATGAAGAGGACAGTCACAGTGAGACGGCATCCTCCGGCTATGCTTCTGTGCAGGGAACGGACGAGCCACCTGCTGAGGATCCTGCGCCTTCAGAGAGTAAGTATTCCCTTCACCCTGCAGATTCTGCTGCCAGCCTCTCAGGCTGTTGTACTTCTCAATAGGCTCGGGTTAGCATGTTTAATTCCCTTGGCAGCTGGGTGTGAAACTTAGACCCTGCAGGCATTGGGGGGAGGGGGGATTTAAATACAGTACTAGAATTTGCTGCCACCTGCTGGAGATCCACACTAAATGTGCACCTGCATCTACTTCCCTCTCCAGTAGGTTTGTGCTCCAGGTAGTCCTGTCCAGTGTGATTTCGGGAGCATTTCCGCTTTGAATAGAAGTCTGAGCTCACTTTGCATATTGTGATGACTTGGGGGACGTGGGTCACTGGGGCTGGAGGACAGTCAATGCCACAAAGGAGAACTACCAAAGTAATTTTTTTGGTGCGGGGGCTGACCCTGCCTATAAATCCTGAATGCGTGTACTTCTGCAAAAGGAGCCTAAATATTTGATTTGGTGCCAGAAATGTAGAACTACTTCTGGGAGAAGTCAGGCAGGAATATTGCTTTGGAAATGCAGCCACAAGAAAGGCCGTTTCGTTCATTGCTAGCAGTTTTATAAAAGGGCCTTTTGGAGGTAAAAAGTTCACGTGGTAATTAATCTCTGAAGATTTTATTTTTTTGTCACTAGATCCAAAATTAGTTTGCTGCCATACTTGAAGGGGGAGATCCCTGAAGAGGGAGGGATAATTGGAGTGGCTAAGTTGCTTGAAGGAATATATTAGAAGGTGAGACAATATCACCTATGGGAGAATGACTAATGAAACTTTTGTATTTGGATACTCTAAACAAAATTATCTGTTGTATAGGTATCTTGCCTGTATAGGAATATTCGGAACAGATTTGGGGAAGAAATGAAGGATTTTAAGGATTATAGGACCCCGAGGGTGTGGAATGGGCTTCCACCAGAGGTGGTTGAGGCCCCATTGGTGAGGGTATTCAAAAATAGGCTGGACATGCTCATGGTGGGCATGTCGTGAGCAGAGCCGGCTGGAGCCGGGGGTCAGACAAGATGACCCAGGAGTCCCCTTCTGACTCGCTCTCTTTCTATGTTTCTATTTAAACCATGTGGTCTTGTAGGGAATCCCTTTTCTTTCTTTGAAGTTATTTAAAATCTTTTTCTTTTTGAGGAGTATTACTGCTCTGAGAAATTTACAAATACACTGACTTATTCAAGTTATTGCTTTGTTATTTCACAAGTTGGCTTAAGACCCTTGTGGTAAGGCCAAGCCTGCGGTAGGATTTGAACTGTAGCCTTTCAGCTCACTCCCCATTCCCTTTATCTCTTTGCCACTGCTGTTAGTAGAACGAGTTGTGAACTGAGAGGTTTGTAGGCTGTAAGAGAAGACTAGACAAGCTGCTGAAATAGTCCAAGTGGGATATGCCGGGAGATAGCCCAGTATATTTAACTTCCAGCTTCCTTGTCAGACCAGTTTATATAAACTTTGTAAAATATGGAATTGAGATGTAACTGGAGTGGAATCTGCTGGTTACTGAGAATTGTGCTGTCTAAACTTACATTTTTTCTCCCCTTTCTAAAAGGCGACAATCTCCGCCTTGTGAACAACACAGCCCAACCTCCACCTGTAGATGTCCTTCCGCATCTCGACAATCCAGGTTTTGAGGCAGATGAAGTACAAGAACATGACGCAAAGTCCTAAAGGGCTGTTGTAAACCTGCTATCTACTTGGCATACCAGCATCCAACATTGACAAAACTGAGACTGACGTAGCAGCAGCGTTGCCTTGCTACTGAGATGAAATACACAATTTAAGATTGCAATCATATGGAGTGACCTACCTGTTTACTTGTCTCCTTGTGGATTAGTTTTAGTACTCCTGAGTACAGACCTTTCTTTCGATGTGACTGGAGAGGACCAAGGTCTTAGCACAAATTCAATTGAGCACAACCACGTTTCATGAAGTAGAAGTTTGTTTGTTCAGCCTACAGTAACATAAATCGTGCATTTTAAAGGGAGAACTCTACATTTTTTTTGAGGGAAAAAAAAGCTCTTAATTGAGCTAGCTTTTTGAGCTTTTGATTTATGTAACCACAAGGGTGTGTTACTTTTCAGGACTGGTCTGGATTAATATGTGTTTAAATAACCTGCAGAGTGGCCTTATATTCAGTCCTTAAACTCTGGGGTTAACCACTTGCTGCATTAAATAAACTATTTGACCAATCAAAGCAAACCATCTGTCAAGCATACGCATATAAAACATTGGAAATCCAGTGCACCTTCTTCACTGGATTTGACCAAGTTAACCTTTGTGAAAGAAACACACATTCCAGAAGTACTCAAGATATTTGAATACAAGATGAACCGTTTTGCATTTGCACATTTTACTGGAAAGGTAGCTGCATAAAATTACATACTTTGCCCATGTTTACTGTGAACTACTTTAAGTCTTAAGTGTTGCAAATGTCATGGCTTAAAAATCTGCCCAGTTTTTAGAGAATGCTGCTCTCAGCTTTGCCAGATGCAGAAGATCTGTCAGTGAGAGAAAGCTTCTTGCTGCTGCTTTGAGAGAACAGTTGAAAAAAGATACCCAAAGAAAAATGTGTCCATCGGAGTTGGTAGTGTGAGAACATGGCCGAAAGGCAAGTAAGGAATGGGTGAACTTCATAATTTTATTTTTCTAATATATGCGATGGGAGCATTAACGGGGAGCATAGGTTGCCTTAGCATGGAGTCTGGAACCGCGTCCACCAAAGTGAACTACTATAATAATGCACTTTATTTTTATTTTGTATCTTCTCTGGTTCTCTTTCTAACTGCAAGCCTAGCATAAGTATGTACCAGAGAACAGTGAGTATCTGTTTTTAACATTCCACTTGATTGTAACGGGAGAAAACAGTACGCCGTTTCCCTCATTTTTGCATAGTGTTTGATAAAGTTGTAAATATTTGATTTCTATTAAATTCCATTGAATATAAAATGTAAATAAAGCTATTCTAATACCTGTGCAGGATATTCATTTATTTTTGATAATAAAAAGCAGTTCTACATAAAGTGCCTGTGTTGGCAGTCCAGCTCTTGTCAAACGTTATAAACCTGCAGACTCCCAAGTTTAATCTGCATTTTAGTTTATGCTATACATTACATGAAAACTGCAGCTGAAGTCATGCCTTTCGCAATAAATAGAGGCTACACAGAACTAGGAGGAAATTGGCAGGCAGCACGGTGATGCTCTTTTAAGAACTTAGGTTTGAATATTTATTTAAAAGGAACCTAATAGGAGAAGAAGGGATTTTTGTCTAACTCTCTGCTTGCTCACCAGGAGCAACATGGCAGGTCCGCTGATTTTTGCAGTGCTTGTAAAGTTTTTTGAGGCTGTTACAGCCCCCAAAGTCCCAGCATGTTCCGATTGACACTGGAAATTGCTTCACCTTGACATGGCAGACTTTTGTAAAAGAAGCGAGGATGCTCAGGAGAATGTTCCATTATTCTTAGGGGTGCCACCTCCTGTGTTGTCATATTTGAAAATCATTTCCCCAAGCATTGTAGGAGCTACTAACGCACTCTGTTGTGAACTGATAGCCAGTCCCAAATCAGCAAGTTGCAGTGAGATCTGTAGGGTGAAATTCTTTGCATGTTTAAATGGAAAGTCTAGGAATCTCAGACTCTCCTGGCTAAACATCTAGAGGTCTGTGTCCTTGATCACTTTTTTTGGAAATAGTTAATGCTCATGTTGCCCCCTGTGCTTTGTCAGGCTAAGGATGGGCTATTACTACATTGTCAACGTACTTCACTCATTCATTGCTGTGATTAACTTGAAGCTTGACTGGTCTCCAAACACCAGGAAATGCCAGTAGTAAAATTACCCAGCTTCACAGTCTCTGGGGTCTGTTTTGGAAGAGAACCACATAACTCAATTTCAGCAGAGGCGCCATCTTCAAACTGGGGCAAATGAGCTAGGGATTGGATATGTAACATCAAAAACCCCTGTGCAAGTTCTGCAGGAAGCATTGATACAAGCCTTAAACTTGGGGGTTAACCTCACTGAAGGTAATGAGAGGAGTGTGTGTGTGTTCTGCATGCACCCCGATTGTCCAAGCTCTCTAATTCAAATTGTCCACCTCACTACATCTATAGGGTGGTGCTAAAGTCATCCTGCCCTTCTATTCCAGGTTCTGTTCAGATTTAAATGGGTGCTTGGGAACTGGGGACAGGTGAGAAACCACAGCACCTTCCAGTTCTAGCTGCCCATGGCAAAAGAATGTGTGTATCATTAACCAAGCCGACCTGAACAAAGATTTGGTCAGTGGCTGCTGTTTTTCTTGTGCAACTTGTTGCAAACAGGTTAACAAGCAGAGTTCTGTTGCGTTTTGAATGCTACGAGAATGAGCAAAGGAGGGCAAATCAAAGAGGCTTGGATAGGTGGATGCCGTGGCAGATTGCGCCCCCAAAATATGAACTCGGGTGCTGCAATTGCTGAACATTCCTGTCAAATAGAACACTTCTTTCTCAAACACCAGATACATGTTCTTTATTGTTCATGCTGTGAAAGTAACATTTCCTCCATCATCCTCTGGAATACCTATTAAACAGATTCTTAAATTTTCAAACAGAATTTTGTAAAGCAAGCATTTAGACTTAAAGTAGGTGAAATGTTTAAGTGTGTGCAAAATGGTTATTAGACATTATCCTACTTTCTCGTACAGGAGTACAGTCTTGCTCACGTAACAGAAGGGGATGTGGGTGGGACTCTGACTTTTACCAGTTGGTAGTTCTAGTGGTAGCCTTACTCTGATACAGTCATGTGATTTTCACAGTCCTGTGTCTGTGACACCAGCTGGTGGAGGGCGACAGAGCTGGTTGTAGTCTGAGCTAATTTTGGGCCTTGAATTTGTAAGCTCGCATTAAAAACACACCAGCGCCTTAAAGCCCTTTTCCTGGGTTTTGTTTTCATGGTTTGCACAAATAGCCTGAAGCTTGTGGAGGTGTAAATCCAGGGCCTCCAGAAGTTGAATTACAATGCCCATCATTCCTGACCTGGCTGAAGCAGATGGGGGCTGGAATCCATCAATAGCTGCAGGTCTGTGTTCTGCACCCCTTGCCTAGTCTAAAGGCACTTGGGAGATCCTTATGGCTTGCTTTGAGAAATTCCTAAATTAAATGCTGAACTGGTAACGTATAATGTGATTTAATTTTGCTCAGTGCTGTGCATGTGTGTCCTGGCAGATCTCAGGCGCCTGCTTGGAAGGCTACCCATCCTGGCGGGACTGACAATTAAGATTCCCAAGATGAGACTGTTTTTGAAACAATTCAAAGCCCTGCTGTGGTCCAAGGTCCCAAGACTCTTCAGGAGGCAGGAAATAGATAAGGGGGAGATTAGCCTGAGGTCAGATGAAGGGGCCAGACTAATCAGTCCCTGTGGGAAGGGGGAGCAGCGGCAGCCTCCTGCGGGGGGGGGGGGGCACTGAAATGGGTAGTTTTTCTGATGGAGAATTCCTGCCTCCTGAAGACGTTGGTCCGATCCCTAGATGTCATCCTTGGAGAGAAGTCCAGTTAGGTACCCAGCGGACAGCGGGGGCTGGCTCAGTTTCACAGGACACTTACCCCAAGTGGGAGGTGCAGAAGGGTTCTTAAAGAGAGTTTTGGGTAATGAATGTCAGAAAGGATTCAACATTCACTTTGTGTATGCTCAGAGACTCGGATGTAACAGTTAGCAAAGAAATGCTGGGGAGACTGAAATTGCCTGGAAGGAGAATCATGGCTCACAGGCCCTCCAGATCTTTTGGTATACAGCTCCCAAGCCAAGTGGGGATGACTTGCCCATTTCATTAGGGCCCTAATCACATTCCTCCCTTAAGGGAGCAAACAGGTACAGTTGCCAACTTCTTTTCTGGCAGGGTGCCTATGCCTTCAGCTACCGTAGAAGGAAAAGCAGAACTGCTGATGCTTTCGCTGCACTCTTGGGGGGAAGTGACACCTGGCACTGATGCTCTTCTGGAAGCTGCATCTTGCAGCTTCTCTTCTGAAAACTGCTCCTGAAAGCTGCAGTTTGAGGTGGGGTGAGAGGAAAAACCAGGAAACATCTGCCAGTTAGGACTGGGTCTCGGAAGCGAAGCCCAGTTCCCGAAAGCAGCAGCTGATGGAAGCAGGGCTGTGGGAAGGCCTGGCAAGGTGATGGCCAAGGTTTGTTACAGCATCCTTAAAAATATTCTGGGTTCTGGCTGGGCATGTATGAGGGTGCAGATTTTTCAAAATGATTTACACTTAAGATATGCACCATCCTTTTCTACAGCAAAATGCCAGTTACTCTCAAATCACTCATTTTCCATGAGAACAGGAAAGACCAGATTTGCTAGTTTCTTGCAGTAGGATACGATTTAAGGGACTTTCTGGTGCAAAAAGAAAAGCATTTAAAAAATTGGCATAATTCTGTTGCTCTATCCTATCAGGAGTATAGAAGCAGCTGTAAAGCATGAAATGACAGCTGGCTGCTGGTGGAGAGAAACAGACTGTCTCACGGGGAGGTTGTGTCTTCCATGCCCCATCCTATGCATGCTTGGAGAGAAATGAGCCTGGCAATGCTAAAAGTTACAGGACTTGTTTATCCCATGTAACCATGTATAGGATTGCTCCCTAAAGTCCAGGGTCTAAACCTACCTACCTGCAGAAACACTTAGGAGACCAGATGCAAGAGAGGGCAAGGTGCCTGCATTTCTAAGAAAACAATAGGGAGAGCTTCCAGCAGGAATGGCTTGCATACACTACACTTATTAATGCACTACCATATTTTTCTGTCCCATCCCACCTGCTTCCTCTTGCAAGGTATCTTCACAACAACCCTGTAAGGTAGGATAGGCTAAGAAGCAGTCACTGGCCCACAATTATCCAGGGAGCTTCATGGCCCAGTGGGGTACCAGAGCCTGGGGCTCCTGCTCCGCTCCAAAACTCTGCTACACCACACTGGCTTTTCTATTGAAATTCCCTCTTTTTACGTATGGCCACCCTAGCTCTTTCTTGATGGAGTGCAGAAGTCAGAAACAGCAGAGCGGGCATTACTCGAGAGAAAGAGGGTCCAGAAGAAGAGTCCTGCTGGATCAGTTCAAGGGTCTCTCTTCAGCTTTCAGCACTCTCCCATCCCCAGCAACTGGTGCTCCCCAGCAAACTGCCCCTGATCGTGGGGGTGTCGTAGAACCATGAGGACTAGCAGCCCTCAGGACTACAGTGGCGCTTGCTTCTGCACCTGTACCTGCAGATTGCGGGGCTGCGCGGGCCTGGACTTCGGCTCCCAGGTTCAGTCCTGGCCGCACCATTACACAGGAGTAAACAAGACACACAACACGCAGGAAGGCCTGCCGCACCAGAGCCGGCTGCCCGAGGAAGCCCCAAACAAGGCTGGAGCGCAAGGAACACGCTCCCGCCCGTGTCCCCGCAGCAGCAATCCGGAGAGCCAGGCCCGGCCCGGCCCGCCCCACTCCTCGCCCGCTCGGCCAGGCCAGCCAGCAAGGAGGCGAGCGACCGAGCGCAAGCAGCGCGGCGAGCAGCTCCCGCAAGGCTTGCCGGGGCCTGTAGTGCGCGCCGGGGCGCGCGGGGCGGGAGCAGCCGCGCGCGGAACTACAGTCCCCAGGTGCCCCGGGAGAGGGCTGGCCGGGGCTGGCCGGTCGGCCGGGCTGGCGCGCCCGCCCGCTCCTCCGGCTGCCTGGCTGGCTGCGTACGTGGGAGCTCCCGGAGGCGCTGCGCGCATGGAGGGCTGAAGCGCCCCGCCGCCGCCGCCGCCGCGCGCCCAGGATGTGGCTGAACCCCGAGGAGGTGCTGCTCAAGAACGCGCTCAAGCTGTGGGTGCTGGAGCGCTCCAACCGCTACTTCGTGCTGCAGCGGCGGCGCGGCTATGGCGAGGAAGGCGGGGGGCTCACCGGTGAGTGGGGCCGCCCGGCTGGGCTCGGTTGGGCCCCCCCGCCCTGCGGGGAGGGCAGGGGCTGCTCCGCGCCTCGCCGGCTCCCCTCCCCCGTGGGATCCTCAGACCGCCCTGTGAGATCGCCGGCCGCCCCGTAAGCGCTGAGCGCGGTGCGCTCTCTGCCTCTCCTCCCGTGCGCCCAACAGCCCTGTAAGTGGGAGGTTTGGCTTGCCTGGCCCGAGCTTTGTGGGGACTTGGTGCTAGCGCTGTTTCTCACCTCCGCCTTGTTGTATGCCTACAGCAACCCTGTGAGGTAGGCAGGAAGGTGAAGGCTGAGGTTTCTGTAATGTTCTGTAGATAAGATAAGCTAGACGTGCACATGGTGGGCATGTCGTGAGCGGAGCCGGCTGGAGCCGGGGGTCAGACTAGATGGCCCAGGAGACCCCTTCTGACTCGCTCTGTTCCTTTGTTGTCTCTCTCTTTCGTCAGGCCTTGCTGCACTTGTTCAGGGTTGGGGATTGTTTGCTCTCAGTGTGTTTGTTTTCCTGCGAGATGTGGGTCCTGTTGAAATACTAGAATTGTTTGTTGTTTTACAGGTCCGTTTGGAAAATGTTGCTCAGTTTTATTATGTAGCATTTTCTCGGTTGTTACTGTAAGCCTCTTTGGAGTGTAGTTTTTACCATGGGACACTGGCATGCCAAGAAAGAGAGGCTAATTGCCTTCCTCACATGTCATTGGACTGTAACTGCCATCAGACCTAGCCAGTAATGGCAGAAGACGATGGGAGTTGCAGCCCAACAGTATTCCCAAGCCGCCCATGCAGATCCAGCTCAGCCAGTGTCTTGGTTCCTCCTGGATGCATTTGGGAAGAGCCAGTAAATAGAGCAACAGACTTCCATCCATCTCTGGCATCTGGTGGTTGGAGGTATCCTGCTGCTGAACATGGAAGTTCCACTGAGCTTTTAACATCCGTGAAAAGATTTTCCTTTAGGATTCTCAACAAGAGGATCGCTGCTGGATCAGCAGATCAGAGGCTGCTTAGCAGCAGCCTTTTCCAACCAGGTTCCTTCCAGATGTTATAGACTGCAGTTCCCTTCAGCCTCAGCTGTGTAGCTAATGCTCAGGAAGGGTAGGAGCTGTAGGAAAACACCCGGAAAGGATCCAGCTTTGGGGCAAGGTGCATCTGTGGTCCAAGGTTAGGCAGCCTAGAGTGTGCCTGATGTTTTAGACGGACTTTTGGCCATGTTGGCTGAGGCGGATAGAAACTGTAATTCAGAACATCTGGAAGGACCCAGATTACTTCTGGCCAGACCAACAGGCTGTTTCCAACTGGGTACTTGTCCGGAAAACCTACGCAGATAGGAGATACATGGGCTGGTTTTGAGGGTCTTTCTGCTTCCACAGTGGCCATCACCAGCATTCGCTGTTCAGGAGATAGATTGCCACTCCAGATGGAGGTTTCATTTTATTTTTGTGAATTTGGTTGAGCTAGCTCTGTGCACGGATATAAGCCTTTCACAGGATTAAATGTGGAGGCGTTGGCTGTTGCATCTTTTCCAGTGAATTCCTCAGGTTGATTTTACTTGTGTGGACTTCTTTTTTTCTGAACCGAGTAGAACCTGTGCTGCTCATAGGAAGAAGCTGGTGGCTGAAGCTTCTTGTGGTGTGGAGATAAAAGCAGAACCACTTGCCGATGTCTCCAAATGCAGCTACTGTTTCAGGAGAAGACAATGGTTCAACAGACCAGAGAAGGGTCATTCATTCTGTCTTCTGAAGCTAGCGCTCTGGTCTGTTGCTCCCTTTGCAAACAAGGATTGTTTGGGTGCAACAAGCTTGGATCCCAGGGGTGGACAACATGCTAACCAGGAAGAGTCAAATGGGGGCTATGTAGGTTCATAGTGCATCCGTTTACTTAGTATACCTTTTTAAAGTGTTAATGGCACTTTACAAAGTACAAGAGACAAGGTGCCTGAATCTAGGAGCCAAAATATTGACCCACAGAAGGGGCTGAGGGGAAAATTGCCAGCAAGAATAAACATGGGGCAAAGATATGTTTATTTCAGTTACGTGTGCCAACTTGCAGTATGATACAAGGATCAAGGTATACAAAATGTCCTGTCCTGGATTCTGTTCCCATCATGGCTGGCCAAAAACATGTGAGCCGGACAAGACATTGATAACTACCCCTGTTCTTCTGTAGATATTTACAGCAATACTGCCTCTGATCATGGAGGTTCGGTTTAGCTGGCCTCCAGAAAAACCAGTGATAGAGTGAAGAAGTTGTGTGATTCTAATTATTTTTAAAAAATTGTAAACAACTGAAGCAGGTGCCCATCGCTGTGTCTTATAGCAGTGAAACTCTGCAAGCTGATTATTCATTGTATGAAGAAAATATATTCCTTTAATCAGCCCACTTGGCGGCTTGCCTGATGCCACCTGGCTTTGTAACATTGACCAATTTGGTCAGCTCCCACAGCTTTTTGTTCATGCAAAGAAGAAAGAGAGAACTTTAAATGTCTTCTGCTAAAATGCCCTCTTCCAAAGTACTCGTAAAGAAGGAGTTGAAGGACCAAAACAGAACTTATTTTGAATGCAGAAGATGCCATGTTCAAATCCCCAATATCTCGAGGCAGGGCTGGGAAAGGCCGCTGTCTGAAAACCCTGGAGAGTTGCTGCCGATCAGTGCAGGGCATACTGAACTAGATGACTTGATTCATATCGTAACTGGGACATGGCTGGGAAATGCTGGGAGATGTCGGACTTTCTTCTGTCTGCCCATGCATAGAATCACACCCTTATTTGATTTATATCTGACTCTTTGGAATTGCCACTTGCAGGCTCCCTTTTAGAAATTTCAAGCAGACAGCGGCTCGAAACAACCAACCAAAGAACCATAGTAATGTCTCCTAAAAGGCTGGCATGCCACGCGAGCCTTCCTGTTCCACATGTGGAGGCCACCACTAAAAGGCTCTCCCTCCCTGTTTCCTGTTTCCGAGGAAGGAGGCACCCAGAGAAGGGCCTCCGCAGATTTGCATGCAGCGCTTATTGGATGTGTTAAAGGTTCTAGCACTGATGAGTCCCGTTGGCCCGAATTGCTTGTTTGGAAAAGGAAATGTGGGTGGGCCCCAGCGTGTGGTTATACATAGCCACTGTCTTTGTTACAGATGCCTCCTTGGGGCTGACCTCCAGGAGAGAGCCGCCACCAATCAGAACAGGCAAAGCTGGCTTGACTGGACAGCCAGCCCAGCCAGCCTATTACTAGGGGAGGACGTGTAGCTCAGTGGCAGAGGTCCCGCTTTGCATATCGAGGGTCCCCGGTTCAATCCCTGGCTTCACCAGGTAGGGCAAGGAGAGAACCCTTCTGGAAATCCTGCAGAGCTGCTGCTAGTCCGTGTCTGGAATATTGGACTCGATGGACCAAGCATCTGGCTCCGGTAGGGCAGCCACTGATATCCGCAGTGCCTTTTGTCAGGGACTGTTTTGCCAAGTTCTCAGGTGAGCAAAAGAGGTCCAAAAAAGGTGCCTTCCCTGCTTCCCCCCTTCTCCTCTGCACCATACCTGGTCTTAAAGCGCCCGTCGTGGCCACGTGAGGCAGGCACAGCTTTGTTTGTATGAGAAGCTTCCATCGCTGATGCAATTCCCAGGAGGTGACTGGATTGGGCCACACGCGTTTGCTGGTCTCTCCGATTCCTCATGTGTTTTCCCGTGTGTTTCCTTGCGACAGCCCTGCACAGCAGGCAGGCTAGCTTTGCACATCCATCGGGATGTTAGAAGGCTGCCAGCTCGGGCCTTCGGTGATCCTTGGCGGCCTGTTGATGGCCTGGGGAAAGGAACCTGCTCTTTTTCAAACCCACCCGTCCCTGGAAACCCCGTGACACCTGCTACAAGCTCCTGGCAGAGGGACATTTACCAATCACAGAGCACAAACCATAATTAACTAATTAATTTACTACTCCAGCATTGTGCTCAACCTCTGGGCCCCTCCTCCAAGTGCCAACTCTGAGGGAAGTGCAGAGGTGGGCAACAAAGGGGAAGGGTTTCTTGCTGGTGCCCCCCCCCCCATCTATGAAATAACCTCCCCTAATGTTCTGCACCAGGTTAAGGCAGCCCTCTTTTCTGAGGCTTTTAAAGACTGACTTGGCCACCAGGGGCTCGAGGAGGATCACCGGGTGTCGCACCAGCTCACTCTTTTTTGTTATTCCTGGTTATTATCTGTTGTTATTGTCTGTTTTTAGCTGTTAAAAACTTTTTTCTCCTTTTATGATATTTTATTCTCTTTTTATCATCTGTTTTCATGGACTCTAAACCACCTAGAGAACTTCGAATGTGAGGTGATATAGAAATAGAATAAATAAATGTTCTCAGGTAGCACAAAGATTACTGACAATTTAAAAGTGGGTTTGGCTTATTAAAGGATCTGTACACAGTCCCTCCCATGGGTTCTTTGTTTCAGAGGTTGTAGAGCTATTGTCTTTCCCCCAGCTTCCTTTTAAAACATTAATGAACTTGTCCATACATCTGAGGGCAGGATGTAAGAGTTTTCAATTTGTTTTACATTGAACAGTGTCAAAAGGAATTTAACATAATTATTTAGCTGGAAGTAGCTGGGCTTGAGTCAGGGACATTTTCTGTATGACTAATACTGCAGATCTGCAAGCTGCCTTTATCCAGGGAAAGTCGGTAAAAATAAGAATTCTGTGCAAATGCTCTTGCCATAATTTAGGTCCCCTGGAGTATACTCAGCGAGACCATTTTTTTAAAAAAAAGCACATATTTTATTCTCTGCACCCCCCAACTCCAGCAGGCTGACCCATACATGCAAGTGTCTGATAAGCAAGTTGTGTGGGAGAGAATAAATCTTTAGGACCATATTGCTCACAAAGCAGTTTTCATCCAGCACTTACTGATACTATTAGAATATCATCTTATGGTTTAATTCAGAGCAGTAAACTTTAGCTCCTGGTTTTGCTAGATTAATGGATGGGCAAGCATTTTAATTTGATTGGATAGCTTCTCCAATCAGCCAACAGGCATAAATTTTCTTTTTCTTCCCGCTACCACTCTCAGTTCTGGCATTCTATCATAGCCACCTTCCTTCCTTTTCCAAGCAACTCAAGGTGGCTCCCTTTTCATTCTTCCCCTGCTACTCTCAATCCTATCCCCACAGCAACCACCATGTGAGTGGGCTGGTCTGGGAGTCTGTGACCGGCCCAAGGTCATCCAGTTGGCTGCATGGCAGAGTGGGGACTCGAACTGAGGCAGCCCGAGCCCAAGTCCAGCACTCTTAGCCATTGCACCACACTGCCTCTCAGTTTGCAGGCAATAAACCCACACCCACACGCTAAAGTAGAATAATATATATTAGAAATTTTATTTATTTATTTATTAAAACATTTCTATGCCGCCCCTTGCCAAGGCCTCGGGGCGGCTTACAACATCAAATACAAAATACATTAAAACAGTAACAATTAAAATATATACAGTAAAATAAAATAAGCCGCCCTGGCCGAATAAAATTCAATAATATTAACATTTAAAATGCTGCTTAAATAAAAAGGTCTTCGCCTGGCGCCGAAAAACAAATAACGATGGCGCCAGGCGGACCTCTGTACAGTACTTCTAACAAGAAATATAAACTTTTATTTATTTTATTTATTTAAAACTTTTCTACCTCATCCACCACTGACATCTCAGGAGAGCTTACAATAAAGGACAAATAAAATAAAACAAGCACAGCAACCAACAACTCTAGATAAAACCCCCAGTTAAAACCAACTAGACATTAAAATAGTGGGAAAATAAAAAGGTTTTCACCTGACACCGAAAAGCCTAAAGCATTGGTGCTAGGCAAACCTTTCTGGGGAGCGTTTTCCATAGTTGGGGTGCCACTGCAGAGAAGGCCCTAATCCAGGTAGCCACCCTCCTGATCTCCTTCAAGGAGGGCTCCTGGAGCAGGGCCTCCACCTCAGATCTCAAGGGGCGGGAGGGCACATATGGACGGAGGCGCTCCTTCAGGTAACCAGGCCCTAAGCCATTTAGGGCTTTGTAGGTCATCACCAGCACTTCAGTTGCCTGGCAGTGTAACCAACAGAGGACTGTAGATGAATGTACAGACATGGGTTTGGGCTCAGTTGTGTTGAATGGAATCGGACTTCCCTGGTACCTTCCTTTCCGCAGAAGCACCTCCAGCTCCGTGAAAATGCTTGCCACGAGTCAGGCAGCCTTGCTCCACCAGGTGAGCTGCCAAGAGGCACCTGCGCAGAGCAGAGCCTTGCAGAACGCCAGATGTGCATTCAGGTGCAGGCACTGCTGTCGTTCTTTCCAACATCTAAGGCATCGTTCGCACCGTACGGTCCTGGAGTACTGAACTGCAAGATCAGAATGTCCCATATCAACAGAGCCGTTCTTTCAGCTTTAGCAGGATGATCAGAAAGGCAGATGGACCACTTCTTCCACGCTTCAGGCCAGAAAGAAGGGCAGAGTAGAGTTTTATTCCCGCCCACCTTTCCAGCAGAAGGGGCATGTTGGATGCCCACTCCAGGGCTGCTGTAGCTCCCACCCATTGACCCCTGTGTGAGAGATGAGTCTGGGCGCTGGGGAGCTTGGGGCCTTTGCATGGCATAACTGGGAAGCGCTCTGCACTTTTCCTGGTGAGGATCTGCAAAGCTTCTCTGGACGTGGAAATCTTTGCTTCATGATCCAAACTGAGCCCAAGGTTGCTGGTGCCTGGGCTAGTGATGACTAATGGTTTTGACTGGATCCCAAGTTAGCCCAAATCCGTGGAGGTGAACCAACACCTGGCAGAGACTTGAGGCTATGGGTCCCACGATCCTGCTCTTTCTCCATCCTGACTGGTGCTTACATGGGATGCAGTCGGAAACATCTGGAGGAACCAGGTTATCTACCTCTGCCCTTGATAAAACTAAGCCGAAGGAAGGGCATAGGAATAGTACTAGCAAAGCAGAGAATGCTTCTCATTTCAGGGGGTGAAAATTATGGATTTTCATGAAACATAGTAATCTTGAAAATATGGGGTAAGGGAATACAGGGCCATGTGTACTATGTTTATACAACCACTTTGGAAAACTCTAATCTGTAGCAACTTGGTAAGCACTGAGAAGAATTTCTACTGAACACCAGGGAGAATTACCTGCAAACGAAAACGACTGGATTTCTCTCCCTTCTTTTCAAACTCTTGATAAGCCAGGATGCAAACATGTCCGGGCTGCTTTGCAAGGTGCCAGTGCAGATAACGAAGCGTCGTCAGGGCTCTTCACTCAGTACCAGCCAGCATGTTTGGGCTCTTTGAGAGCCATCATTTTGTAGAGGCTGCACTTGTGAGCTCTGTGTTCTGGGAATGTTGGCGAGGATCCCAGTGTTGTGTATGATCCAGGCAGGGGAGGGAGAAATGAATGAATGAATGTTCTGATGCAATTGCCTGTGTTAAGGTGAAGCCAGCTGCAGAATGTGCTTTTGCAATGAATAATTTGTTCTTCTGACAAATATAGATGTACCCCTCAAAGTAGCAGTTATGGACTCTTGGGGCGGAAGGGAAGATTGCCCTGCAAATGGTAATCATGTCAGTTTCAGGCCACTGCTCTCCCAGCATGAAATGAAATTTGGGGCCTTCCTCTGGGTAGGAGGGGACCCTGGACACATGTGTCCCCTGGTGGGGTCCCATCTTTTGTTGGTGGCCCCTGTTGGACTTAGCCAGCACTGCCATTCCGAGCAACGCTGTAGCAGAATCCTTCCATCAGCGCCTGGGATGCTTGTGGTGTTGCTGGTGGTCCTGCAGAAACGCTGCTAACACCTCTCTGCTCAGGAAGGGTGGTCTGCCCCAGACTTTAAGCAGCTGTATGTTGAGTTCTTACAATGTTTTAGAGTGATGGTGGGCCAGGGCAGTGTGGGAAATCAATATGGCAGCCAACTGGAGCCCCAGCCACTGCCAAGGTTAATGGGTGGTGTCACCCGCCCTTATACAAATTGCTTGTGTTGCTTTGAATGGTTGAGGGAGCGACAGATGTGATGCAGCATCGGAAGATTACTCCAAGATTAGCCCTGCAGTTCTGAAGTCTGGGTGCTTCACCTTTCCAGTTTTCTCTGCTAAGGAAATGCTTTCTGAGGCTATGCCACGTAGCACGAGGATCTTGGAAGTGGCAGGCGTGTTGCGAGTGGAACATTGCGAGTACAGCAAGAGCAAAAGAAGTATTTTCTTTCCCTAACAACATGCAGACTTAGGCTCACGCAGTGAAAGTGTTCCTGTTGCTCGTGGCCTGCTGAATGCAGCCCGGTTGGCTGCCTTGTTCCTTGCGTAAAGCATACAACCCTTTCCCAAACCACACAGAAGGCAAGCGCCAGTCCGCCGTGGATGCTGCAGGAGCCACCTGCATGACTGTGTTCTCAAGCTGAATCCTAAATGCTAAGAGGCCAGCTTGGCCGCCTCTTTCCACGGAGAGGCAAAGTCATTTTTCTTCAGCCAGGCCTTTAGTACATCATGATTCCACTGCATTTATAGCCTCTTGCAAAGAGCCCAAGGCAGTTGACTTGGCCTTTCTCCACTCTATCCTTATCCTGTCTGGAAGAACACTGGGGAGTGGTTTAGCCTGAGGAGGAGTGGCTGTTCCAAAGTCACCTGGAAAGTGAGAACTGAGCGAGAACTAGAACCCACACCGCTTAGGTTCTCACAGTCCAGCACCATAAGCACCACAAAACACCAAACTGGCGACTCTCTGGTTTCTCGCCCGGGGCGTTTTGATCTCTTTTGCTCTGTTTTTAACTTTGGTTTTAATGAGACATTTTAACCAAGATTTTGCTTTTATTCTGGATTTTATTGTTAAGCACCTCGAGTGCTAGTATACTTCAAGCAACTAATGAATCAATAAATCCCACAGGCCTCCTGGTGGGGACGCTGGATGCTGTTTTGGACTCCACATCCAAAGTAGCCCCTTTCCGCATCCTGCACCAGACGCCAGATTCCCAAGTCTACTGGTCCATCGCGTGCGGTAAGTGTGTGCAGTCCCAAACGGAGCAGTCTTGAGAAGAGAGGAAGGCCACTTCAGGGTATGTGGTCAGTACGGGGGTAAAGTATCCATCTGCGCAGCACAAGTCTTTGCTTTAGCTGAGGCTGGGGAGGTGCCAGGCTCAGCTTCAAGGGTTCCGTTTGCGCTCCACCACATCAGAATTGCATCACTTTCCACCTTTGGGAGGGAGCCTAGAGCAGTGGGTGAGTGCATGCTTCGGCCTCTGGCACCTCCTGTTGAAAGGCTCGACGAGCAGGTGATGGGCAGGTACCTTTCTTTGCCTGAGGCTCCGGAGATGAACTGCCAGTGAGATCAGGCAGCTTGGACTGAATCTGGGGGTGCCAATCCTTGTTCAGCCCACAGGCCGAACTCCATGTTAAGGAAACTCACACAGCTCATCGCGAGCTGAAAAGGTCTGGAGCGCAGTTGGGTAGAATGCTGATCAAAGGCATTTGCTACTCCTGGGGGACAAGATCAGCCTGGAAGGCAGGTCCTTGTCAGCATGTTTCCTCTGAATCAGTTTCCTGACAGTTTGATATCAGCTTTAGCTTGTTACCCGAGATAAAGTAACTGGCTTTCCCAGCGAGCAGCTAAGACACCTGGACTCTCTTGTAACATGATGCACTGTGTGGTCTAGACCAAGGCCGGTTTGCCCGAGCCCTTTTTTACATAATAAAAGCCAGTTGCCTAGAACTGCGAATCAAGCGCTAGTGGCCTGGACATTTTGTCCTCTGCGCAAGCCATTCCACATGGTTGGTTGGCATTCAGCGTGAAACTGGCAGTGGGGCCGGTATGCTGGGCCCCCTTCATGATACACCCAAATCCAATGCACTTCAGCTTTTCATTGTCCTTCCCAACACTGAGATACCCTCTTGGCTCTGTGTCTATTGCTTACCTCCAATGCTTGATGTAGGCAATTGTGAAAGTAAAATAATAATAATAGTAGTAGTAGTAGTAACAACAACAGTAGTAGTAGAAAAGCACAGTAGATAATTTCTTCACCAAAGAACAAAAAATCTCCAAGGAGAATGTGAGATCAGGGCAAACTGCAAATCCTACAAACAAGGAATGACATATTAACAAGATTTAGAGAGCACTGTAAAACTTCCAAAAATAACCAGTTGCCAGGAGAGGTGGTGGGCTCTCCCACACTAGAGACATTCAAAAAGAAACTGGAAGCCATCTGAGTGGGATGGTGTAATGTGGTGTCCTGCAACAGCAGCAGGGGGTTGGACCCGATGGCCTTCATGGCCCCTTCCAACTCTGCTCTTCTATGCTTCTATGAAAAGGAAACAGTAATATGCAGTATAAAACACTATAAGGGGACGGTCTCATGCAAGTTTAAACAGAAAAAGTCCCAGCATTCCCAAGCCAAACATGCTGACCGAAGAATGCTAGGAATTGTAGGACTTTTCTCTGTCAAGGGCCAGCAACTTGTTCTCCCAACCTTTTTCTTTGTCCCTTGCCAGCGGATCACAGCAGGAGGCTTCTAACTACAATCTTTAGTATGTTAAAAGTCATTAGCAAGAAACATCCACCACGTTAAGACCCTCTGATTTTTGAGTCAGTTCTTCTCTATACCAAGAGTTGATTCCAAACTGAATTGCCCTCCTCCCTTCGCCACCAAACAGGGCTGGCACCACCCTCGGGCAAGTTAGCATTGCTTGTGGACAAGGTGGAGGAAATGCTGGAAGTTACTTAACTTCTCCCTTCATTTGACTTAATGTCAGACTGTGGGGTTGATGAGCACACACCCCTTCCCCTCTAACCTTCTTGTTCCCCAGTGTCTCCCTTTACCCAGAAGCAATTTGGTTTTCACCAGCCACTTCATTTATCTTGAAGGTCACAGGCCTAAGCATTCTGCCCCCACTGCTGCTTCTAGTTCCAAATCAGAGTCTGAAACTTCCACATGGGAATATTATATTTTGGAAAGAGTGGTCCCAGTCCTCACAACTTGAATATAATTGTACCTTAAAACATTCTTAAGAAATGGTGAAACAAAGCAAATATTGTACTGCAGAAAGGTACAAATACAAGTCAGTCTTGGAACTGACTTCTTAAAAATATAGAACAGTTAAAAAGACAGACAAAATACCGCTCTATCCTGTTGCAAATATTATAAGACAAAATTACAAAGATAATCTATAAAATGAAACCCTCATGTTTGCCAAATGCATTCTACCTGGATAATGGTCAGTGGCCAATTTACAGGACTGCGTGTTGAGAAGGCTTCAGAATGGATGCAAAGCATCCAGTCACAAAATGAGTGTTACTCAGATCCAGGCAGTTGTAAAGTAACTCCCAGGGAGTGCTTCAGAACATTAGTATGTTTCATTGTTGGTGCACAAAGACTTGATCAGGATGCGTGTCTGACTTCCTCCCCTGCAAGGGAGCAGTTTACCAAAGGAGTTGCCGCCCTGGCAGTAGAGAGAAAGCACTTCCTAAATCTTATTTTCAAGCTTTCACAATGCCTGGCTGGCTATTGGAAATCATCTCCCAATGCAATAAGACCCTTTGCCCCAATGTAAAAGCCAACAGGATGCTTTTGGAAATGGCATGCCCTAATTAGGAAACATCAATATTGCGGCTCGCCAACTTCACCGCCACCAGTTTTACTTAACTTGGTTTTGCACAGAAGCAGAGGCCTTGTAACCATAGGCAACAAGGAGCTGCATGAAAGCGAGTGAGGGGGCTGGCGGAGCTCTCCCCCCTCCGCACCCAGCACAGAAATCAAGTGGGCTCCTGCAGGAGAGAGGTCCCCGGTGCCACAGCCAGTGTGGAGAGGCGGCATGCTGCAGCAAGGGGGACGTAGTGAGTCCCCCTCCGCCCTGAGCCTCGCCAGTTTTGCGAGGGACTATTTTGTGTGTTCGTTTAGAAGCGGGCTGCAGGCTAAGCTCAGGTTCAGCTTATCATTGAATGTGTGTGGTTGGGATTGGGGCCATGGCCCTTCATGGAAGGATCCAATCGCATGCATGTGTAGATGGGGGGATGCCAGGGAACACACCAGGAGAACGCTGGGAGTTGTGGGACTTCTTGCTGTCCAAACACGTCAAGAAACCTTCCCCGCACGACCATTTTTTCCTCCAAAATTGCCCCACCCTCTCATTCTTTGGAGGTTAATGGTTATAAGTGAACATTGCGCATGGCACCTGCTCGGTTTATCCGTCCCGCAGGCTGTAGCCCCACCGGGACTGTGCTTTTGGCTTTGCTTTCCTCGCCTGGCAGAAGGGAATGTCTTGCAAGCCTCAGCAGAAGTGAAATGCACGTAATGCAATTTATCCTTACCAGGAGCCAGCAGAGAAGAAATAACGGCGCACTGGGACTGGCTGGAGAACCACATCATGAAGACCCTCTCGGTGTTCGATTCCAACGAGGACATCACCAGTTTTGTGCATGGGAAGATAAGAGTGTGTATGCCGTCAGTTATTCTGAGCCTTCTGCCCACAGTCTTTCCCCAGAGGGTCTTGCTGGTAGGGCCACAAGCAGCTGAGTAGACATTGAAAGGCAGAATTGAAGGGGGTGGGTACAGGCCCACCTTTCCCCCTTTTAAGGAAATTTAGTAGCTTGCTGTGGTATGTTGAGAGTTGTGGTCCTTTCTGTTTCTTTTCGTGTCTGAACATGCATAAAATCATGGCCATAGTCAAGTGCGACTCCACATCATCAGGGCTCCCGTTGCATCTGTGCTTCAGTCTCTCATGCCTTCCCCTGCTCTCAGTTCTTCAGAGTGCTGGGACAGGGGTGAGGTGGGCTGGCTGGCTCTGGAGCTCAGGGAGATGTGTGTGCAGCCCGGCTCCTGGCTTTTGAGCAAGAGACCCCCCCATGAGCCTCGTCCCTCTGTGCATTGACCTTCTCACCCACATGGCCACCGCTGCTCTGGCTCTTCCTTCACCACTTTCTCATTCTCCCCTGGCCTTCTTGGCCAGTAGAGAGTTCAGGAAGCCATGGCATCTCCTGCTGCATTGCCTGGTCCAGAGCAAGAGGCAAGTGAACAAGCAGGTGGCAACAGAGGAGAGGAGGAGCAAGTTGAGCACCCTGCTGGGGTGTGGGCCCTTGGCAGGTGCCCAGCCAAGCCTACCTTTGACGCGGGTGCCAAATGACCTCCGATGGATGACTTGGGTGGACTGTCTGGTCTTCAGCTGCTCCTTCTTTTCCCTAGGGCTTGATCGCTGAGGAAAGCAAAGGTTCTTTAATAAGAGAGGATGATCCGGAGAAGTTCCGCGAGGTACACATGAAGTTTGAGAAGTGTTTTGGGCTGGCTGAGCAAGAGAAGCTGGTGACGTACTACTCGTGCAGCTACTGGAGAGGCCGGATGCCCTGCCAAGGGTGGCTCTACCTGAGCACCAACTTCCTGAGCTTTTACTCCTTTCTGTTGGGTGCTGAAAGTAAGTGGAGGCGAGCCATTCATTGACTCCTCTGGGGCCTTGCCTTGCCTGTTTGTGTATTTAGACAATACTTTTGTCATGAGCCAGTCTCTTCTCCCAAGCCTCTCTTCTTCCCCTTCCCAGAAGATGGACAGGAGAGGCCAAAAGCTATAGCCTTGTATTATGTTAAAAATCAGCCAGACTGGCTGTATGATCCAAAGAGGGGAAGGTAAAGTTATCAACAAGAACCTTCTGTCCAGTGAACGAGCTGGCTAATTAGGGGTTGGATTCTGCTCACACTAGGAATTGATTCCAGACTGTGTCCCCCTCCTCACGTCATCACCAAATATAGTGTGCTGCTCCCTCAGGGAGGTTCCCACAGCTTCTGAGTGGAAACACCAGGCATAACTTAATTGATTCGTGTTCTTGACCTGACGTTGGTTGGATGGCAACATCCATCCTGCTCTGGCCTTTCCTCTTCCACAGTGTCTGCTCCAAAACTGGAGATGGTTTGCTGCCTGCCTTATCTCAGCACTCTCTGGCCTTGACATTTTGAATAAGAATTCCGACCCTGCCTCTTCCGACTTTTGGAGCCTGAGGTGTCTGCTATAGAACACTGTATTTTTCGGAGAAGCTGAGCCGTCACTACAAATTTCCTTTCCTTTCTGTGGTCAGATATAACAAGTGATTTTTAATGGCCTTTTCATTCTTCTTCCTTAAGGTCTTTGCATTCTTCTGTTTTTACTTAAATGGGTTCTACTTCCCTTCTATTGTCCATACAACAACCCTATGAGGTGGGCTAGGCCAAACAGTGGTGACTGCAGTTTGAACCTGGGTCTTCTTAGCCCTAGTCTGACACTTCCCTCTGGAAATCTCGAAATCACAAGCAGTTCATTGTATACAACTCTGACTGCAGTTCTAAGTACCCTGAATACCAGAGGACTTACTTCTGAACGAGCCTGGCAGTAAGGCTTTGGTCCCGCTTGCATTGAAGTCCCTGGGGCTGACTTGGAGTAGAGGTGAACAGTATTAGACTTCCTGGGCCAGACAGTTGCCAAAGGGGTCGAGTCTCTTTGGTACATCTTCTGCTTTCTAAAAATAGCATATAAATATTCATTCCTGGCTCATTAAAATGCATTGCATTTAGCATGTGCTTCAAATAGCTTGTTATTTCAGATCAAGGGTGAACACTCAATATGGCTCTGTGAAAGCTGTGATGTTTTAATACATTTCAAATCGCAGATGCTCACCACGACAGGCTGTAGGGCCATGCCCCCAGGGGAAGTCCCAAAATGCCAGTCTTGATCTGTGTGTAAAATATAGGTCCTTTGTAAAGTTAATGGGTCTTAATTGCCCATTTAGGGCCAGACCTACCAAAGTAGTTCTCATTGCAACAGGGAAAGTCAGAATGATCCTATTAACTGGGTTCAGACAACACAAACTCAAGAGTTGAGCTTTGGTTGAAACATGGGTCATCATTGAAATGCGCATTATTGTGTTGTCTGAACCCAGCAAGCTGTAGCTTTTATTATGCACAAGCAAACCACAAAGACAACCTATGGTTTGTTGTCGGGTTGTGAGCGGTGGGTTGTGCACCGTCATTTGTTGTCTTGGTTGGGTTCAGGGAACATGGGTGACCAATGTTTTGCCAACAACCAGTGGCGCAGTGACAGCCCCCACTTAACCCGTGCTCAACCCATTTCCCCCCAGCTACTCTGAGGATTCAAGCAAAGCTTGAAGTAGAGGAACTCGGAGGATGTCTCTGCCCCTGCGAGTTGAAATTCCCAGCCTTTCGACTTAGCAAATGCTGGCTCTGCTGCCTCACTGCACCAAATGTGTAGCCTGCAGAAGTCCCAAAATCTCGAATAGGAGGCTGCAGATTGGCAAGCAAAGAATCTTCTACCCTGCAGCAAACAGCAGCATTTCTGTGCTGGGTTTCCCTGCTCCAGCAGAGTGCTTGGCTTTTGGCCGATCGCAGAGCATGGGCAGAGTGCTCATCCTTCCTCGGCCAGCCCACTCCCTCCCTTGTATGTGGTTTGGTGTCACCTTTGGGTTCCAGCAGGACGAGCCCTTCCGGAAGGCCAAGGAAGCAGATTTGGGGTGACGCAAAGACAGCAACTGGTTAGTTATCTACTCTTAAAATGATGCTTACGGCAGCTTTGCTGCCAGCAAAGCGGGAAGAGGCAGCTGCGGGGCTTTCTGCCTTGGGTGCCAAAATGGCTAGGCTTGTTTGGGGTTCTGTGTGCACCTTGACTCAGGTGGGATGAGGAGCACTGCACATGGCCCCACCTCAGGCAGAAAAGGGCCTTCAACCCGTTGGGCTCCCAGGTGAGTGCTTCAAATACAGGGCTGAAATAGCACTTTGGCTATGAAGGTGTAGTGCACCTGCTGAACGGCTGTTTCAAGGTCCCATTGGCTTGGTCATGAAAGGCAAAGTTCCTTGCAGGGACCTGTTTCGACAGACCGCCCCCCAAATAAAGATTTCACTTGAAAGGCTTTGGGTTTTGCTAGAATGGCATTGCTCCTTTAGGTCTGAGCAAGGATAGCCAGCCAATGTGACAGAGCAAGGCATGAGTCAAGTTCTCTTGCTTCCGCCTGCAGTAAAGCTCGTCATATCCTGGGATGAAATCTCCGTGCTTGAGAAGACGTCCAACGTCATCCTGACGGAGAGCATCCACGTCCGCTCCCGTGGGGAGGACCACTACTTCTCCATGCTTCTGCACATCGGCGAAACCTTCCTGCTCATGGAGCAGCTGGCACTGTATGCTGTTCGGAGGCTCTTCGACAAAGAGACCTTCGAAAGGGACCCCGTGCTCTGCGATCCCTTGCAAATCACCAAGAGGTAGAATAAAACTGCCAAAGGCTCGAGGATGGCCGGCTGACGGGCAGCTGGAGGGAAGGGGTGAGGCCATCTGGGGGTGGGATTTTGAGTGCCCTGGGAGTCAGCACCCCTGCCTAAATGTAACCAAAACAGCCACACATGGTTCCCTGGAGTTCCAAAACTCCGTGAGGCTCACCTGGCGCCTACATTGTGCTCTTGCAAGCACCAGAGGGACCCTCCTAATTTTTGCAAGAATTTTAGTCTTTCACTCTCTCTGCCTTTACATCTTGCCCTGTGTCCTAAACCTTGTACTGCTGCTCAGTTTTCCTTTGGTGTCCCCTCCTCGCTTACATGCTCTGTGTTATGGTTTCTATTATTCCGGGAGCTTGGCCTGTTGGACAGGGCAGCAATTTTGTCCACCAATGGAATCCAACTTTTGCTTCCAGGGGCCTTGAGAGCCGAGCCCACAGCGAGCAGTTCACCGCCTTCTTTAGGCTGCCCAAGGAGGAGTCGCTGCGGGAGGTGCACGAATGCTTCCTGTGGGTGCCTTTCAGTCACTACAATACTCTGGGCAAAATGTGCATTTCTGAGAACTATGTCTGCTTTGCCAGTCAGGACGGCTGCTTGTGCTGCGTGATCATCCCTCTGAGGGAGGTAGGTTTGGTGCCAGCGAAACGTAGGCGTCTCCCTGCCATTCTAGAATTTAAAGTGACTGCATCATTTACAGGATGCTCAAGTCAAGAGGCCTGTGAGTGTGTTGAATTGTTCCTTGCAGTCGTCTTCCCTCCAGCTGGCTGGCCGGCACGCCCAGCATCCAGGAGTTCTGGGAGATGAAGGGTACGAGGCTGCAGAAACCTGGCTTATTGTCTTTGTTTTTGCACGACATGTGATTTTTGCTGGGCATGTAGAGGTATTTGTAAGCCATCTGAGACAGGTCTGGAGACTGTGTAGAGACGTTGCGGATCGGTAATGTGCAATCTGCAGTACTCTGCCTACTCTCAAATGCCTCTGCTAGCACTCAGTTCAGGCCCCTGGCAAAAGCAGCCTTTCTCCTCACCCTCATAGCCTAGTGAGCGGAAAGAGCAAGTGTGGGAAGAGATGTGGGCATCTGAAAATGCAGAGCGCGAAAAAGGGCTGGCAGGAAGAGGGAAGGAACAATGGTGACTCCACCCACTTCTGGCTCTGGCCACACCTCCCGCTGGCTTTGGCCCAGCCTACTGCTGCCATGTGGCCCTTGACTAATTACCTCTAAGGGAATGTGGCCCTTCAGTCCACAGGCCCTCCAGGTAAATAAGAATGGCAGAAACAGGTGTTACTTTCTGGTGCCAGGAGGAGGCTATTGGCAGAAGACCTGCCAGGATTCCAGCCCAGTGCGGATGTTCAAATGTCATGAGATAGTGGGAGGTTCCTAATTGCACCGGCAAGACTCAGCTCCCTGGCGCATGTGCCCAGGAGCATAGCTTTGAAGTCTTTGGTAGCCACCCTTTGCCTGGATAGCAAGGCCATATTAGCGTTCGAAGCAAAGGCGCTGAGCACGGCTTTGACCTCCTGGTCTTGGCTGACTTCTCAGTCATAGCTGTGATCTCTGTGCATCAGGCAGGAGGGGTGGGCAACATGCGGCTCTCCTGTTTTGGCCTGCAGCTCCTACCATTGTTCACCACCACTTTGTTGGCTGGGGTAGATAATGGAATCGTAGAATAGTAGAGTTGGGAGGGGCCAAGAAAGGCCATTGGGAGTTCAGTGCAGGACTGCAAATCAAGCCATCCCACTCAGATGGCTGTCCAGCTGCCTCTTGAATGTCTCCAGTGTGGGAGAGCCCACAACCTCCCTGGGTCATTGGTTTCAGTGTCGTACTGCTTGAGCAGTCAGGGAGAAGTTCTTCCTGATGTCCAGCCAGAACCTGGCTTCCTGTAACTTGAGTTCATCATTCTGTGTTCTGCACTCTGGGATGATCGAGAAGAGATCCTGGCCTTTCTCTTTGTGACAACCTTTCAAGTACTTGTAGAATGCCATCCTATCTCTCCTCAGCCTGTTCTTTTCTAGGCTGAACATGTCCTCTTCTTCCAGTTTCTCCTTGTAGTACTTTGTTTCCAGTCCTCAGGTTATCATTGTTGCCCTCCTCAGAACCATTCCTGGTTTGCGTGCATCTTTCTTAAACTGTGGTGTCCACTCACAGACATAGAGGGGGCCACCTCTACTTTTAAAGCCTTAACAATTTGACATTATTTATGTATCCCAAGAACGTGCACCATAGAGCTGAGTTACTGGCCAAGAGGTTGACTTGAATCTTTGCATCCTGCAGGTTGTCGCCATCGAGATGCCCGACCCGGCCAGCAGAGTGGTTAGTATTGCTACCAAGGGGAAAAGAGCCTTCCGCTTCTCTGAAGTCAGGGACTTTGAACAGCTGGTGGCAAAGCTCAGGCACAAATGCAACATGACAGCAAGCCTGCAGCATCAGGCAAGCGTGGAGGTAACCCTGCTGGAAGCTTACCTTGTTTCCTTCTGTTGTCTAACTCTTGAAAGGCCTTTGTATGCTTCAGGCAGAGCTTCTTGCCGGGCTCAAGATGGGAGTTCCTTTCCTGGGTACTCATGGGATTCTTGGCTGCAAGATGATTTTAGAAGGCCAACCCACAGAGGAAAAGGCAGCCCACATCTCATAGGTGTGAGGGTTTCGTGCATCTTCAGGTTTGGAGGCAGAATGGCACCGGGTGTTAGCTTTTGGGAAGCTGTGGTGCAAGTAGAGTTGTTGGCTTCATGCCCTTCCAGAAACATTGCTGGTGTTAGTAAAACTCAGGATGCTGAACTGGGTGGACCTTTTTGGTCTTCTCTTGTGGTGGAAGGGCACTTCCTCTCTTGTAAGGCAGGGGTGGTTAACCTGCCTGGGGTACCAATCCAGCGCTCGGGTTTACCAGATTTGTTTATTTCTCAGTGATACCTGCATACCACGTAATATAATAACACACCGAGATAAAAAATCACTTTTCAGATTCACTATTTAAAAAGCAATTCTGCTCACAAGGGCAGTCTGAAACAGTGCTGCAAACAGATGGTGAAACTTGATTCATAGGGGTTCGTTACAGGCCAGGAAAAGGAAGCGTGCCTTTGCTTGTGCATAGTTTTGTCTGCAGCTCGCATTGTGAAATGCACTTTGCAGGTGGCTGTTGGTCCCGCCCCCACGCCTCTTCTGGATGACTACGAGGGGCAGCCGATGGCTAGCCACAAAGGGAGCAGCCAGTCCGTCAGTACAGAAGCCCTCATGACTGTCTTTCACCCCCAGGACATGGAGAATCTGGACTCTAAAATGGTAAGAAAGAGAGGCCATTCTCACCTGCAGGAATCTGTTCCTCCCCACATGGCTCCTCTGCAGTCCTTCATGTCTTCTTACCTCGCGTTTCCACTGGGCTAGCCACATTGCTCTCTTGCAGCGTAAGCAGACTGAGCCAGTGTATTGAGCTTCTTCTGCTTCATTATCAGAAGCTGAGTGCCCAGATCATGAGAACCCAGAACAGTTCTGCTCTCTTGTGCACTTGCTGAGCCAAATTTGGAGTCACGTGGCCAGTTCTAAAGAGGACGTTAGGTTAGAACACATTCCGAGAAGAGCCACCAGGCTGATGACAGGTCTGGGGGGCAGGTCCCATGAGGAATGATATGGATGCTTAACTTACAGAAGAGAAGGTTCAGATATCCAAATAGCCGTCAGGAACAGACTTGTTCTCTGTGGTTTCAGAAGGCAGGGCTAGAACCAGTGGGTGGAAACTGCAGGGAAGCCGTTTTTGGCTAAATATTAGGAGACATTTCGTAAGACTGAGAGCTGTAGAGGTAGCATGTTCTGTTTGGTGGAGTTGTCTTAAGAAGAAGCTGGATGGCTCCGGTCAGGGATGCTGCCACTGCACCCTGCAGAGCTTGCACTAGGCAAGGGGCTGGACTAGATGATCTCCACGGTCCCTTCCAGCTCTGTGATTCTATGAGCCTTATGACAGAAGGGGTCTGGCAGGCACAGTCAGGTAGCAGGGTTGCTTCCATCCCCATCGCATATGAATGGTGAGCCGAGATGCTCAGCATTTCCAGCTTATTGCTCTGTTTGAATGTGGCCAAAATCTTTTTGCAATCCCCCACTTAGGGTCATCTCTTGCCTCTTCTACACTGACCTCAGAAGCCTCCCCGATGTAACCAGCTAGCCTTATAGGTCTAACTGGTGCACGAAATGAGTCCTTTTCTTTCATGGCCACAAGAGGCAGAGCCCCTTGCTAAAGAGGTTTAGCTGGTAAAACAGCATGGAAATAGTTTTATTTATCAGGAGGGCCAGGAGAATGCTCCCTGGAGTCTAAGGCTGTGAGAAAACACTTCCTCTAAATTCAGCTTGGGAGTTTTCATGGCAGAGGCAAGATTTGAACCAGGAGCCTTGGGTGAGGGGATCTTTTTGACCTCCGCCACTACTGGGCTCATAATATCGACTGTGTCTCCCAACCCAAAATGGCAAATCTGTTCCACAGTTTTCCATGATCACAAATGCTCCAGTTTGAAGTAGATGAGGAGGCTGGGCCACCCACATTCAGCCCACCGATGTTGGCCACCATCCCCATCACAAGAACCCTCTCTTGCTTGCAGTTCTGAGAGCCAGTGAGGTGGAGTGGTTAAGAGCGCAGGAGTGGGACTCAGGCAATCTGGGTTCTAGTCCCTGCTCAGCCATGGAGCCAACTGGGTGGCTTTGGGCCAGTCACACACTCTCAGCCCAACCCACCTCATAGGGAGATTGGGGTAAAGATAAGATTCAGAAGAGGAGGAAGAGGATGCAAGCCGCCTTGAGTTCCTTGGATATAAATATAATAAGCCAATAATGAAGGTTTCATGTGCTTAGGCTTCAAAGCCTTCTCAATAACTTTGTTTTACTAGTTAAAAGAAAAAATGAAAGAGCAATCCTGGAACATCCTTTTCGTAGAATGCGGCCGTGGTTTGAGCATGTTTCGGATGAGGAAGACACGAGACCTGATTGTCCGGGGCATCCCTGAGCTATTAAGAGGAGAACTCTGGCTTCTTTTCTCAGGTGCGTCCGGCTGTGCATGGCATTGTTGGCTTCTTTGTCTTTGTTATTGCCGATTTTTATCACTATTGTTTGTTTTGTGTACTTACACCCTGCCATTCCATCGAAACACCAAAGGCAAGTAGCAGCTGTAAAATACCCCTTCTAGGGCTAGCCCCTTCAGCCAAAGTAGTTAGTCTGGGACAGTCTGGGCTTTTCTTCCCCTGACTTTCCAGCATGGGGCCCAGCTGTACACTTGCCCCGTCCGTCACAACAATGGCTTGGGAACAAACTCGTTTTGAAGCCCTATTTGAAGAGTCAACGGGGGCCGGTGTGAGAGCAGGTCAGTGTGTGGTGTCGTGGGTGGAGTGTTGGCCTGGGCCTTGGGAGAACTGGGGTCTAGTCTGCACAAAGCTCCCAGGCTGAGTTCGGGCAAGGCGTGGCCTCTCAGCCCAACCCAGCCTCACAGCCAGGCCCAGTCTCGGAAATGCTTATCGAAACTTGGATGCTATGTGGGGGCTGTTGGCTGCATCGCCAGGGGACTGCTCCTGTGTCCTTGAACTTCTTGTCCTGAAATGGTGTGTCCTAAACATGTTGGCAGGTGCAGTGAACGACATGGCCACCAACCCCGGTTACTACACCGAGCTGGTTGAGAAGTCCTTGGGGACGTGCACCTTGGCCACGGACGAAATCGAACGGGACCTGCGCCGCTCCCTGCCCGAGCACCCAGCGTTCCAGAGCGACACGGGCATCTCTGCTCTCAGGAGGGTTCTAACTGCCTATGCGTACCGGAACCCCAAGATTGGCTACTGTCAGGTGGGAAGTGCCCCCAGGCACCTTCACCCCTCTCATAGCTGGTAAACTACCGCAAGTGTGTGTGTGTGTGTGTGCGCTTGCTTGCGTGTGTGTGTGTGTGTTCATTTATAGTACTTGCAGAAGTTAAAACTGCGACAAAACCTTGCAGCCTGGACTGTTCAGGGTTGCAGCCAGCCATGCTTTCTTTCAGACTATTCCTATTCCACTCCTTCTTTTTCCCCCACCCCAACCCCATGATGCCCTGTTTCTCTGTTGATCCTCCCCCGGGGGGAACTCAGTTACCATTGAGTTGTTTCGGGATTTCCTCCCCATCGAAGTCCAGGCTTAATTCAAGGTGCTGGTTATCACCTATAAAGCCCTTAATGGCTTGGGACCTGGATACCTAAAGGAACGCCTTCTTCCATATTCGCCCTGCCGCCCCCTGAGATCGGCAGCAGAGGCCCTCCTCCGGGAACCCTCCGTGAAAGACATTAGGAAGCAAAGTACCCGGAGGAGGGCCTTCTCTGCGGTGGCGCCCCATCTATGGAATGCGCTCCCCAGAGAGGTCCGCCTGGTGCTGTCGTTATTTGTGTTTCAGCGCCAGGCTAATACCTTTTTATTTAAAAAAAAGCATACACTTAAGTCACCCATCCCAGTTCTGACCAGCCATGACCCTGCTTAGCATATAAAGAGCATAGCAAAAGTGCATAAAGAGTGTTAGATCACAGCAGTTCTTTGTTCCTTCCTCTTAACAGTGTTACCCTCTTGTGTACAAGGTAATAAAGTTAGTATTTTTGTCTGGCGAGTATTTAGTCTTGTGAGGAGCTCCAGATACAAGTTACGGAGCTAAACTTCAGTTCCTCTTCTGGAAGTAAACTTGGAGTCCCAGGACAAATGACAGCAACACAATAGCAACTCCCTCGTTTTGCTGTCAGTCTTGTTCTCCCAGGCTAAGCATGCTCAGTGCCCTTAATCTACCCTCTGGCGTTTCCTTGTTCTGACGGATCTTTGTTTGGCATGCCTTGACTTGGCAAAGGCTAATGCCACCGTGGGCTGCATCAGATAACAGGAAGGTCAAGAAAGTTCAGGTTCAGGAAAGAGGGTTGCTATTGCAGCACTGTTCCAAGCTGACTTCATTTTAACGAAGTAGTCCCTTCCCTTCTCTTTTAATGGGGTGGAGGATTTACTCACCTCTTCAGTACTGCAGAGAGATTTCTCCTATCTACTTACAATGGATTGTATCCAGTGCTGGTCATACTAAGAGTAGACCCATGGACTACTCTACCCAAGGTAACATTTGCCTCCACAGCAGTGCTTTTTGGTGGAATCCATTCACACATGAGGTTGACAAGGATCCAATATGGAGAAAGAGCACGTCTCTGTGGCCAGGCCCAAAGGCACCTCCATCTCCTCATGAAACGTCTGTCTAATGCCAGTGCCCCTCTGCTAATGCCAGCTATTGTGCTTGGACATTGGTAGGCGATGAACATTCTGACGTCGGTGCTGCTGCTTTACGCCAAAGAGGAGGAGGCGTTCTGGCTGCTGGTGGCTGTTTGTGAGAGGATGCTCCCGGATTATTTCAATCGTCGAATCATCGGTACTGTTTTCCTTTAACCTTCGCTTAGCCTGTGAATGACTTTTCAGTGCGGGCCGTGAATTGTGTACTCAGGTGATGTGAATCATATGGGAGAGTTAGTACATAATGCAGCACTTTGTGCATGGCTCAGAGGAACTTTAAGCACAACCTGAGGTTAGTGGACTCCCTGCTTCCATCTTTTTCTCCCATGCAAATGGGAGCACTCCTTCTGAGTTTTGTTTCAGAAGCTGGCTTATTGTTGCGCTCAAGTGTAAGGTGGTGGTTTAAAACAAACTCTGGTTAGTTAACTGGACAGCAAAACTATCTAGAGCAGTGGTTTTCAACCTTTTTACAGTTGGGGGCTAGCAAAAATAGGAAAATTATTTTGGGGACCGCTGAGGCAGAAATAAAAAGCATTATATACACATTTATTTATTTATTTAGGAAATTTATAGGCCATCCATCATTGTCATCTCTGAACGGCTTACAGAATTATTCTGTAATATAGTATTTTGTGTATTAGTTTTTAAATATAGTACCAAAAATGAAAATTTTCTATAATAGCCAGAAACTGAACAGTAAAAAATGCTAATAAAAGAATTATTTTAATTTAGTGAAATTAAATGTAATCAAATACAACTGTAACTTTTAGAGAGCAATATGTAATTCAAATAAGGCTACTGAGAAAACTGCTGTTGCTTTTTTTCAAGAATACTTGATTTAAAATTGTCAATAGCAAAATACAAAATCAAAATATAAATTCAGTACTGTATAGCAAATACAAATTCAAATACAATCAACAGCAGAGCAATACAAAATCAAACCAAGTTACTTAATACAATAATATTCATAATGTTAAATAATGAAATAGAATGAATCCACACACAGACTGGCTGAGGAAACACTCTCAACACAGTCCCGCCTCTGCATGTCACTTCCCAGGAGAAAACACAGCAGAGAAAGGAAAAGGCCTGGTTTTTGGGTCTCTGCCCAGAGGGCAGACCAGGCATGGCACAGATCCCAGCTGGGCTCCTATTGAGCTGACTCTCCCCTCCCCGGCCTCCTTGGCCAAGGAAGAAATGGGGAATTGGCAGTGAGAGCACTGCTAGCCCTGTGCTGTCTTTCATGGACTGCCAGGAAATGCCGGCGTACTGGTGCCGGCCGGCGGACTGGCAGTTGAAAAACACTGCTTTAGAGCTTGCAGGTGGCTTGTTTTGACTGGAGTATAATATGATAGATATGTATACAGAGCTACTGAGGATAACACTTCAAACATTGGAGGAAGTGGGTGCACGTCCACGAAAGCTTACCTTGGGATACTTCAGCAGGTGTTCCTACCTAAGTCCTTCCTCCTCTCTTGCAGGTGCCTTGGTGGACCAGGCTGTGTTTGAGGACCTCATTCGGGAACACCTGCCCCAGCTGACGGAGCATATGACCGACATGACGTTCTTCTCCTCCGTCTCCCTCTCCTGGTTCCTCACACTGTTCATCAGCGTGCTGCCCATCGAGAGTGCCGTCAATGTGGTCGATTGCTTTTTCTATGATGGGATAAAGGCCATCTTGCAGTTGGGCCTCGCTGTGCTGGACTATAACATGGACAAGCTGCTGACCTGTAAAGACGATGCAGAAGCCGTTACAGTCCTCAATCGGTAGGAACAGAGAAAGTTGCCTTGATCCATCAAGAGCAGTATTACCAACACTGGCGGGCAGCAGCAGGCTTCTGGGTTTCAGGCCAGAGGGGACTGAACCTGGGCCCTTGTGCATTCAAATCAGGAGCTCTGTCATTGGGCTGCTGAGCCTTTTTTTCAAGGAGGGATGAAGATTCTCTTGAAGCCCCAGGACCAAATTCCTTTCCAGTGGTGGGTGGGGCTGCCCCCAAGCCCAGCAGCTGCCCCCATACCCAACCTCAGCTCCTGAGTGGATCTCACTTTTTGGGTGGGTGGGTAGTAGCCATCAGCATCCCCGTAAACTCACTGGCCACAGAATGAGCCTTGGGAAGACCATGTGGGTTGAGATTCAGGACAAAGCTGGCCGAGTTTTGTGCAACCTGAGCAACACTTTCCTAAATTTGATGGGGTTTTCTGCCTGGCATTGTGCACACCCCTCCCTGTCTTCTCTTTTCCTTGTTCCCTTTCTTACTGGAAGCTCCTTACGGGCAGGCAGCCATCTCAGATGGGTAGCTATGAAGCCACTCATGACAATTTAGACTGATCATGCAGGCAGGGATCTTCTCCGTGGTTTTTTCTAATCGCCAAATTTCCACTCCCTCCCTCCACCTTTCGTGCATGCTCAGCTTTCCCTTTCTCTTTTCCGCGGAGGTTTTTCGACAGTGTCACCAACAAGGACAGCCCCCTGCCTCCGATGGTGCAGCAGGCATCTGGCATGACCGAACCCAAGAGCCAGCACCACTCAGTGGACATCACGGACCTGATCCGAGAGTCCAACGAGGTGAGTGCAGCGGCCCTTGTTTCCTCGCTGCAGAAGTTTTTCTCTAAACGGGCACAGCGAATGAGTGGAGTGAGGAACCTCTTTTGGCCTGCAGGTTGAGCTTAAGGTTGCAGAAGATTTGGGGAACTGCATTCCAGGGATGGGAGGGGCCAGAGGCATAAGGGGAGGGCCAGAAATGCAGAAAGTAACCTGCTTGTTGCATCTTACTGCCTGGTAAGGTGGGCCATTTTCAGCACTTGAGAATTGGGGTGGGGGGAAATTTCCCCAAAGTTGGGAAACCAGCAAAGGAGTCGTGATGGGGAGAGAAGCCAGAGGAGGGGGGAGTGTGACCTGGGAAATGCGGGGCAGGGGGTCCAGTTTTGGCCTGACAGTCCCAATCCTTGCAATAGATTAACCAGGCCTGGTCACAGTAGAACCTTGGTCCCCTCCTCAGCACGAGTTGCTTGCCCCAGTGTGGTCCGTGCCCAGCTGGAGGCTAGGCCACCCTGCCCTGATGGTTCCTGGTCCTTCTCCTAGAAATACGGCGAAATCCGGTTCGAGGAGGTCGAGTGCATGCGGCGCCGGAACAGGCTGCATATCATCCAGACGCTGGAAGCCACCACAAAGCAGAACGTGGTGAGTAGCGCCCTGCAGCCGGGGCTGCGCTTTTCATCATGGTTCCACGCATCACCCGTCGTCAGCCTAATCGAGTGTTTTGTATAAATCCAAGAAAGAAAAGAGAGGAGCGACGCTAGAGGGCCCCGGGAAAGAAACTGGGCCCATTAGGGGTTTGGCTCTGCATTGCTTTGCCATTTTTTGTTTCTTTGCTTTTAACAATGCAGACAAAGCCACGGATCTGGAGCAGAACGCTGCTCTTCAGGTTCCAGCTACTCCATTCAAGCCCCCACTTCTGATCTTCTTTCTCCCCCACTTGTCCTCCTCCAGCAGTGAGGCATTCAGCACTGGTCATGGGGCAAATTCAGTCCTCCTGGGATGGCTTTGGCCATTTTTCCCTCTGGTAGCAACCCCGCTCCCCACCCCTAAAGAACATTTATTCTCTGCAGACCTTGGGGTCTGCCTCCTTCTGGCGTAGGGACGGTGCCATCTTGGCTGCCCAGGCAGGGCTGTGCAACTGCCTGCATGTGGAAGTCGAGGGGATGGAGGCATGCCGTTGAAATGCGGAAGAGGGGCATAGGCAGGGTGCCTGCCCATTCAGCGCGTGGACGGCTGGGGAGGCCGCTTCCTCTGGGGGAGGTGCGATCCGTGGAAGTTTAAAGCCGTGCCAGTGCAATATGAGAAGGCACAGTCGTAACGCGGGCCGTGGCTTCTGTTGTTCGCTCCAGCTACGTGTTGTCTCCCAGGATGTGAAAATCAGTCCGAGCAACCTGGAAGAGCTGTATGAATTATTCAAGGTAACACATTACTTCCATTTACCTGTATATGGCGAAAAGGTTTTGATTTCCACTTCAGTAGTAGACCACGCTGTGCTTCCAAGAGAATTAAGGAAGAATTTGATTTAGTCTTTCTCACCAGGGTGACATTGATGCAGCAAGAGTCTTGCCTGTTTTGGTTTTGTTTTATTTGTTAAAGGGAGAATCCTTTTCTTTTCTAGCAGGGGTGCTCACCCAGTATCCCAGCAAACTGCCCCTAAGTCGGGGAAAAAAACTGGCCAGACTTGGTTCAGAAACAATGGAAACAGGAAAGCACATCTGGCTCCAGTATGCCAGAAAGCATCTGGGAGCTTTAATCCCTGTGGTGGAGCATTGAATAATCCATCTTTATTATGTGGTCACAGACCTGACAAAACTCGTAAGAGCTTTCCAAAAACAATTAAAAGCGGTTAAATAAAGCACATGGGAAAGACTTAAAAACAAATAAGTATTATAAAACAGAGGCAAGGATCATCTTGTGCATTCTTTGTGCTGATAGCAAAAACTTGGCCACTAATTCTGTACTGAACTTATTCTTATCTAGCTAGAAAATATTTTAAATACCAGTTGAAAACCTACCTGGGAAATCACTCATTGGAGGGGTAAGGAATCTTGTACACTCATCCCTGTAAAAATTGCATTTTTGTTGAGTCTCAAACTTTGACACAAGGAGGATGCAGTGTTCTTGTTAGCCACAGCATTCCTTGATGGCCAAACACCAGGAATCTTGAAACGGATCTCCTACCCAAGTCTGCTACGGTGGAATTTGCCAGAACTGTTGACAGACATGTTGGCTCATTGTAACAGCCTTGTTGAACAAGGGGCAAAGCCAGATCTTTTTTTTTCCTGTCTGATATGAGCAAAGGGATGCTTTTTATGCTTCATGTGGGAGAGGTGGTTGTGCAGGTGTGCCAGTCTTGAGGTGCCTGGGGATTTAAAGGTTATAAGCTACCCCTTGGGCGACTCCAGGAAACAGATTGTGAGACAACACAGCTTTTTCAGGGGTGGCACAACCTGCTCTCAGTTAATGGGCTTTAGTTTATATTGTGAGCAAGCAGAAATTCATGGTTCTGTTTCAGGCACGCTGCTGCGATCTAAGCTATGTCACTGTGGTTGGATCAGGAATGGGTGTGGTTTGTGTGCCCCTCTGTGCTGAGCTGTGCAGTATATCTGTCCTCAGCTGTCACCTGAGAATCTGAGGCCAAAACCAGTGTAGGAACGTTTCCCAGCTATAAGCTGTGATTTCAAGGGGTGTGTTACCAGCTGCAGCCCTGGCTGAATGTCTCTTCCTGGGTTAGCTCTTTGACTGACTTGGACTGAGCTGCTCTGTTGACCATCCGTTGTCAATGTTTGATCCGTCCCTCCCAGAATTGTCCTTCTCCCCTCCTACCCGCACATCAAAGCCAAATTCTTTGTGTTTGCAGAAAGAACATTTTCTCTCTTGTTACTGGAATGTCAGCAGCCCAACCCTGAAGCATCACGATCCCAGCCTGCCCTACCTGGACCAGTATCGGATCGACTGCCAGCAGTTCCGTCTGCTCCATCACCTCCTGAGCCCTTGGGCCAGTTGCGCTAACAGGGACTCCCTTGCACTGTGGACCTTCAGGCTGCTGGATGAGAACGTGGACGGCCTTATAAACTTCAAAGAATTTGCGTGTGCTTTTGGTATGGAGTTGCACACATATCGAGGATGGAATTCTTTGCACGTTGGTCTTAGGAATTAGATTGTTTGCCAGTTCATTTATTTATTTAAAGCATGTTTATACTGTTCCTTTAGTCAAACGCCTCTCCGGACGGTTCTGTTTCCTGTCCCTTGGGCAGACTGATGAGACAAAACAGTGATGCATAAGTTGTTTAGCTCATGTCTGTCTGGTCCAGTGTTGCCTGCTCTGATGGCCAGCTGCTCTCCAGGGCTTCAGGCACAAAGCACTCGTACCTGCAAAGTGTTAGAAGGCCAGAGCGGCCAGGGGTTGAACTGGGCATTCGGCATCCAAAGCCTCGGCCCAGTTGCTGAGCTCAAAAGCGGTCGAATGCTATTTTGGAATCAGTTACAACAAAGACATTTTAAAGCAATGTACAAAAGCACACCTTTAAAAAAGGACAAAGTTTACTTCCTGGGAATGCATGCCAGAAAATATAGAGTTGGCACCTGCTTAATTTACAGTGGGAGCTGCGGAGAGTGAGCACTACGATACGTAAGGCCCTGTTCTGATCTCTAAGGGGCTGGGCCTCTGAAATCAGGGATACCACCTGGAAGTTATTTCCGGATGCCAAAGCACTCAGGTGGTCTCTTAGGTATCCTGACTTGAGTGGTTCTGGACTTCATAAGCAAGGGGCAACATAAGCAAGGGGCAACCTTCATAAGCAAGGTTGTGCTGGGAGCCAGTGTGGTGCAGTGGTGCAGAGCCTGGGACTGGGACTCGGGCGATCTGGGTTCTTGTCCCCGCTCCGCCATGGAGCCAACTGGGTGACTTTGGGCCAGTCACAGACTCTCTGCCCAACCTACCTCACAGGGTTGTTGTTGTGGGGATAAGATGGAGGAGGAGATGTAAGCTGCCTTGAGCCCTTTGTAGGAAAAAGGCAGGCTATAAATCACAATATAAATAAATACATAAACATCTTAAACCTGTCCCAGTTACAGAAAAGTCCCTGATCATTGATCTGTCAGCTTTCACGATCTGTCAGCTTTCACTGACAGTTTCCCAGCAGCAACATCCATAGATTGGTGGGGGCAAGCACACTGAAACCCCTCCCCCCATAAACATCTCTTGGGTCACCTGCTAAGAGTATAAGTCCTGTAACCCTTAAAAAAGCGAAAAAACCTTCTATTTTTGAAGCATTTGATTCCATTTAAAGTTGCTCACGTGTGCTCACATTGCTCACCATTTACAGTTGAGAGTGGCAGGGCATCTACATTAACAAACAGCAAGGAAAGACAACAGAATAATCATCACTTGATGCTTTGGAGGTGCAGTCCTGTGTGTGTGTAGACAGAAAAAGGGCCGGCAACTCACAACATGCTTTGGATTGGGCATGCTCAGAACTGTAAGCTTTTTTGCTGCCTGAACAGGTGTAAGGTTGCATCCTGTGTCAGGCTAATATCATTTTAGGGAGCTTGGTACCCTCCAGGTGTATATATTCCAGAAACCCTGACATTTGGCCCACCAGGTTAGGGCTATGGGTGTTGTGGTCCAGGAGTCCCAGAACATGTTACCTAAGTGGGTCTCACCCAGCCTGCCTAGTCTTGGTCTCAAACAGCCAAGGAGTTAAGCCTGGTAATTCTCAGCCTGTTCTTTCCATGCATCCCAGGTGCTGTAGGGCTTGGTATATATTAGAGGTGATAAACCTCAGGCCTGCAGGCCAGCTCTCGGCTGCTCAGCATCCCAGTCCCATGGGGTTTCTTAGATGCTCATAGCTCCTTTCTGTGGCCCCTCCAACTGTCCCCTACAATCCCAGATCATTTGATGTTTTTCTGGCTTTTATGTGCCCCACCTCCATTCTAAAATATTCAGATGCCTCTGCTAAGACTTAGTTACTGGCAGAGTATGCTTTAAGCTGGAATTTTGGCCCTGCCCCTTTTGCTTGTGGCCCTTCCAACCACTGGAAGGCAACCCACAGGAGTGTCTTGGAAACCTCAGGCACAAAGAGGTTTAACACCCCTGGTATACATGGACAGGTGTCATCTGCTCCCCAAATGAACAATCTTGCTTTTCTTTCTGCTCTGTGTTTCTTAGATATCATGTATCATGGAAGTTTTACGCATAAGCTGAAGCTGCTTTTCAAACTCCACATTCCTCCAGGTGAGTCAGCTTTGGATGTCCTTCTGTTACTTTGCCATCTGTATAATGGGACTAAACGCCGCAAGGTAATACAATGAAGGTTTGCAGAGTGAAGATGTGCAGCCTTTGTAGATTTTTCAAACCTCGAGTGCATCTTGAGCTGTTCTCAGGTGTGTTTTCTTCTCACAGCGTTCACCGAAGTGGAATCCCTCAGCCCTTCCAAAGGTGGTCAGCTATCAAAAGAAGAGCTGATCCACTTTAGCCAATTAAATCGTAAGTATGCTCTATTTATGGAGCCCAGCCATGGCAATCTTCTCATCGACCCAGCAGGAGAACAGAGCAGGTGGCCAAGAGTTAACTCCATGTCCAACTCAGAAGGCAATGCCCTGGTTTTGATGCACCCAGCATATAACAAGACCACTGTTTTAAAAGCATCAAATCAAATAAAAAATCCAGTGTTAGAAAAGGTCTTGGCACCATGTTCTAGTGCTGGGTAGAGCTGAAGAAAATGAGGGTGGAGATGCAATAAATAACACTCCCAGTGCCCACCTATTTCAACTTAAAGCACTTACTGTCAGTAGTCCAGGAGAAGGATTGCTGCACTTCAGAAAGGGGAGCAAAAACTGGGCACTGGGGAAAAGAGGGCAGGGCCACAGAATGGGAGTGAGGAAGGAGGCCTCTTTGGGATCCCGCACAGGCTGGGTTTTGGCCCGCGATCCTGATGTTCAACATCTCAGGAAGAAATGGGTGCGTTTAGTTTTCCTCCGCTTTTGCAAATATTACTCAGAACTATGCATGTGCTCTAAATGTGATGGAACAAAGCAAAGCATATTTAGCTATAGCATGAGTTTATTTATTAGTTCTGTTTAAAAATCGGCCGTTAGCATCAAGCTCTCTGTTTATTAACCCGCCATTTCTGCCTGGGGTGGGGGGGGCATTCTGCTTCTTTCAGCCCATGGAGAAAGCACATCAGGCAGGGCAGCCGAACCTCTTCCATTAATTCTGGTGCCACACAGAACTTTTTAGAGGCATCGCCCCATCGTGGTTTCCAGAGAACTGATGTGCTGCAGTGTTTCTGTTTTTTCTGAGGAAGAAGCTTTTAGAAATCAAGGTGGTAGAGGTTGGACATGAGGAGGAATAGAGCGCAGAGTGCTTGCCTCTCTGGCTGAAGGACCTCAGGTAACAGGTGATAAGCAAAGAGACGGCTGTGCCTACATAGATCCCTGGACAAGGCAGTGCATTTGATGAGTTCAACGGAGAGGTGGTCTGCCTGATACTGAGCCATATGGTATGTTCCAATTAATTTGTATCCCTTTGTTCCCCTATCCTAGTTTCTTCTCCCGGGGACAGTGAGGATGCTGACATGTTGAAGACCAGCCCTGAAAAAGGTAGCCAGCAAGAAAACTGGAGCAATAGCAATGAGCCTGGGCCAGTGCCCATGTGCCTGTGTGCACGCGCGCTTGCTTCCAGGCATGAAAGACAGGCGCTGTTCTCCATCACAGCCGTCAGTAGCGCTGTAAGGTTTGACTTGGGCGGGTGGTTCATGACTTTAGACTCCTTGTCCATTCTGTCTTTGGTCTTGAGGAGGAGGAGAACTGCAGCTGAGTGGTAAGGCGTTGTGCTTGGCGTGCGACCCGTCAGGGAGGCTACCGACCATGAAGCAAAGGGCATAACGCTGTGGCCAAGCTGAGCAGAACTGGGAAGCCTTTTCTGGCACCTCCCGGAGCTCCTGGCTGTGCCACGTGCTTGCGCAGGCACGAATCCGAGTGAGTGCCTGCACCAGATCCTGGTCCTTCAGGAGCTTGCAGGTGAGGAAGAGATGTGAGGAGCTTGTGGCCCAGCTAAGCTGGTCCAGGGAACAAGGAACACAATTTAGTGTTAGCTCCAAGGCCCGCCAAAGGGCGAGGAATTCCCATTGTTCTTGGAGTGCTGGAATCCAGGAGGTGCTCAGTCGTCCTGGTGGTCTTGCATGCTTCTCAGCTTCCCACAGGCAGGAATGTGACCCATCGGTTCATGTTCTCAGGAGCTGGGTTTCTGTTGACTTGGAGAGCTGCTCCACAGAAGCCACTCTGGGCTTGGAGCAGACGCAGATCATTTGTTTGCCTTGAGTGTGACTCAGTGCCTCCCAAACAGGGAAGGGCAAGCTGGATATCCAGGCCTATTTGAAGCAGTGGCAGGATGAGCTGCTGAAAAAAGAAGAAAGCCTTAAGGATTTGCCCCGGATGGACCAGGTAAAGCTCTCCCGGGAGAGGAAGGGTGCTCTCTGTTGGCGTCGGTTTGACTTTACTTGCCTGGGCAGGCGTTGCTGAAGCAGCTAATGCTGAAATGGACTGCCAGGCTGTCCTCCCAGCCAGCATGGCCCATGGCTGTGGTGACTGGGGGAGAGTGGGGGTTGCTGGAGGGCACCCAATGGGCCCCTGCTAGCTTTTCCTCTGAATTACATGAAGGGGGCTTGTGGTGCGTTTTAGCTCCAACTCCATGCTTTTTCGCTCTTGCTCTCTCTCTCTCTCTCTCTCTCAATCCCCCTCACCTTCCCGCAGTCCCAGTTCATCCAGTTTTCAAAGACTTTATATAACTTGTTCCATGGGGACCCGGAAGAGGAGCTGCTCTACCGTGCCATCGCCACTGTGACCAGCCTCTTGCTCAGGATGGAGGAGGTTGGCCGGAAGCTCCAGAGCCCCACCTCACCAGCCAAAGGCATGGCACCTCCCGCAGCTTGCCGCAGCCCGGAAGATGGCGGCACACTCCAGGACCCCCCGCCAGCCCCACAGACTGCCAGCGCTGGGGCCCAGAGCCCACACGATGATTGCAACAGGTGGTCGTTCGCCTTCGAGCAGATTTTGGCCTCTTTACTAAACGAGCCTGCTCTGGTGAGGTTTTTTGAGAAACCAGTCGATGTCAAAGCCAAGTTAGAGAGCGCAAAAGTTTCCCAGTTTAAAGCAAGAGCCCGTGTATAGCGCTACCCGGGGTATTCGTCTCTCATGCTCTCTGCTCAGAACCTGTTTGCAACTTCACTGTATTTAGTTTATGTTGGGCGTTCAGGGTTGAGGTTCTCACTCACTCCCCCTGTTCTGCTGGGGGCAGAGGCCTGTGTTCTCACAGAGTTAAATAAGTATAGCTTGAAGCACAATTGCACCTGATCTTTGCATTTTCGTACCCTCAGTAACTGAGAACACGCCAACTAGCACATGTCACCTGGGAGGGACATGCCATGCCAGCTCATGGAAGGCGCAGGTGTGGCCACATCCCAGACTGCTGCTTTCTTGAGCGCAGTTCTCTGCTTCTTACACTGAATGTATTGTCTGCCACATCCCCAAAAAGCGGTATTGATGTTTACTTGTTGTATTGCAAGGGTGGTTAAATTTCCAAAGAAACACTTTTCAGTCTTCGAATGTAGGTCTGCTGAACGCTTTGGGAAGGATATCTTAAATGGCCAGTTGTTGAAGGATGCTACGTTGCTTCTGTGACTAGAACTAAGCGCTTCTCCCAAATGGTTTTTAATTGTGGCTACTAAAGATGAGCTTGGGGAAGCTCCTGTCAGGTTTGACCCTTCCTACTGGCACAACTCTGCCTTCTCATCTCTAAGAGTTGCATGGAGTTGGGATTTCACCATTTGGCCAGAATCTTGCAATCTGAGCAATTGCGTTGTGCGACTTCTTTGGTTTCCTCAACCTGCTACCCTCACTTGGCCTAATTCACACATTACCTCGGTGGCGTCGAAGCCACATTGCAGTGCCTTCCTTCTCAAACTCGCACGGATTAAGTGTGGGCAGGGTAGGGTTCTGTGGCTCTTTTCCGTGTGGAGGTCATCTTGGGAAATTAACAGTGGAATGGGAAGGAATCCCAACATTCGCTCCACCACCTCCAAGCCGGTATCACCAGTTCAGGCTGGGAGAGCTGTTGTGACACTTCATGAATGTGTGAATTGAGCTTTAGGCTACTAATTTCTTTTTGCAGTGGAAACCATCAGTGTGTGTGATGGTGCAGAACACAGACATTGGTGGTACAAATGGAACGGTACATTAAGTGTGATGGTACACTGCTGTGTAAACTTTTCCTACTTCTATCCACTGATTGTTCTATAATGAGCACGTAACCCCACACTTTCTGGTACTTTAGTTTAATGACCCCTAAGTGCTCCGCAGAACCCTCCTTCTTTTCATTGACAATGCCAATGAAATACTTCTTGGAAGCAAAAGAGCATTCATCTTGCCTGCCTTCCTCCTTTCCCACTCTTAGATATTACTGCAGGGTTTCCCAGTCAAATTGAATTAGTTGAATTGCATTAGTTTGAAAGTTCACTGGTGGAGTTAAAATTGAAATACAGATTTAACTGGAAACTGGTCTGTGTTAGTGTTGATGAGCAGGAGAGCTTGAGAAGAGCCTGCTGAATCCAGTAGATGAAATGGCTCAGGTATGCAGGCAATGCCTTGTATTTGCCTGCTCACCAGAACAAGCCATTTAAAAGCTAAATGGAAATTCTCTGCTGGGGACTTGTAGGGACAATCTTTTATATATATGCAGAATGACCACTATGTGTGTGCAATATGTTGCTGTTTATATTTCAGATTTTGATTATTACTGGTGGAGGCACTGGATTGGCGGGGGTTTCTTGTGTCTCTTTTTAGTCTGGGTTCTTTTTTTAAAAAATAATTGGAAATATGCAAATTTTATGCAGAGCCCTGTAGTCGAGCAAAAATGTGTGCAGAACAAATGTTTGCAATTTGATTAAACCAAGGAGGAATGAAATGGTTGTAATTTGATTAAGGTTGTGAAGGAGGGAGCTTGGGAGTTGCTTGCAGGTTGGTAGGAAAGAAAGAAGCAAACAAGCACAGATATCATGGCCACTTTTTGGTATTTGCCCAGTAAATCTGCATCTTGCCCAAGGTTTAATCTTATCCTGGTGGCTAGCACCATAACCATTTGCAAAACTGGGGCATTCTATATCACCCTACACACGTCTCTGCTGGAGGGACTATCCTTCTAAATTCTGTGCAAATATCCTAGCAGCCGAAGGCATAAATTTTCTGTTAAAATGGACCAATTCTTGTTACACGGGGAAGTGGGCATTTTTACATTACACACACAGGCATGCCCACACAGAGACAATATTGTGTTTGAACACAGAATTGAAGTTCAAGGATTCACACTGTGGGCACTGTGCTATTTCCTCTTCTCCTATTAGGACAGAACAATCCTTTGCCCTAATTTGTGTCTGAACCTATTTTTCCAAGTGGTTGTTCAGTTCAAGGTAACTTCAGTCCAGCAGCCTGAGCCCACTTTTTATCAGATGCTCCTGTTTGTGCCCCTTTGTCCCAAGGAGGCCTCTGTTACTTCAACTGAGTCACCCAGTCAAATTGCTTTTCTTGGGTATGTGAAGCAAAGCCTTCAGTCCGATTGCTCTGCCATAGGAAGAGTAACCTGAAATCACATGGGATTGCAACAGGCTTACTTTCCAGTTACCCTCACAAGGGGTGTTGCGTCAAGAGGTGGGGGTTCTCACATGCAGCAGAGCATGGTGGGAAGGTGGACATGTGCTGCCCCAGCTGGGAGGTCTCCTTTTGGCAGTGCTTCCATTCTTAGAGTTCCTATACCACTGAAGGCTTCTAAGCCCTGCCTTCCTTTTAAAAGAGCATGAGAAGCCATTAAAAAGAAGAACTGGCCAGCCTCTGCTTCTGAAGTGGGAGCAGTCTGTCTGTCACAACAGTCAGTCACACCAAAGCTCACGTGCTTTTTCTATGCAGGATCTCTGGGTCCTTATTGTGGCCTCAAGAAGGCCAACCAGTGGGAAATGTGCATTGCATGAGTCTCCTCTCTCTCCACCTCATTATATCTAAAGAGCAACCTGTGTGTTGGGTCAGACCATTCGAGCACTCCCCTGGCAAGAGAAAGTTAGATATTGGAAACAATAGACTTCGTGAAGAGAGTAGTTCCTTCAGTTTGCTAGGGTTTCCCCCAACCTCTTGTGGGGATTGTATGCTTGTAAATGCCTTGGCATGAGTTTGTGCAGAAGTTGTGCTACCCATGTTTGTGTTTTGGATGGTGGGATGCGCATTGGTCGGGAGGCTCTTTTGCACGCTTCGCTTCAGTTGTGCTGTGCTTTTCCCCACAGTTCAGAGCATCTCCCTGACAAGATGGTTGAGGTGTTGCTGAGACCCCTCACCGCAGTTACTGGGCTTCTTCGCCTCCTCAGGTAGTTTGTAACCAAGGGGCAGAGAAACAGAACCATCCAGTTTAGATCCAATAAGTGTACAAGTGAGTGTATGTGTTGAAGTACAGAAGCTTATCAGCTGTTGGTCAGTATTCAGCACAGGTTACTGGGCACAAAACTGTCCAATGTATGAATTCTTTAGTAACATCTGGGAAAGGACTGTGAACAAAAATTCAGGAAGTCCTGAGCTAAATAAACAAGCCACTTTTTTCCTCCTACAGGGTAATTCCGCACCCCACACAACCAATTGTGGCCTCCGTGTGGGCAGTCCTTGAAAGATAACACTTGACGTTACATGGTCGGAAGGAAAAGCTTTTTAATAGGACCTTACTCCACTGGGGTTTTACAAAAGAGCAGAGAGAAGGGAAATGTCAGGCCATCTTTAGTCGTGCAATAATTTCTGTACCAATTGGCTTGAGTGATCCTTCTTTGAGCCAGTGCCTCATGAGTTTTGATTTATATTACACAGTTTGCCAATGGAGCAATACTAATTCTTATGTAGGAAACACCAAGTTAAAAGATCTGTCTCTGGCCAATGTAAAGTCCATTATCAAGTTACCCTATAAACAACATATAAAGAAATATTAAGGTTATTTTATATGCACACATATGTATATAATTACTGTTTGCCTTGAGGGAAAATTTCATAAATAGGATTATTATGGCATGCTTCCCACAGGAACTGGATAATTTTCTTGTTTCTGCTACTGCGAAAGTAAATGTTCATGTGCTGGCATCTTGTTTATTGCTAAATCATTTGCATGGTATTCTTAATGGGAAGTGATCAATATACTTGTGCTGCTGGGATGAAGAGAACGTGACACATGTGCTTGTCATAGAATCACAGGGCAGTGGAGTTGCAAGGGGCCAGAAGGTCATCGGGTCCAACCCCCTGCTCAGTGCAGGACTCCAAGTCAAACCATCCCTCCCAGATGGCTGTCCGGCTGCATCTTGAATGCCTCCAGCGTGGGAGAGCCCACAGCATCCCTAGGTCAGCAGTTCCATTGTCACACTGCTCTAACGGTCAGGAATTTTTTTTTTCTGTTAAGGGGCCAGAATCTGGCTTCCTGTAGCATGAGCCCATTATTCCATGTCCCACACTCTGGGATGATTGGGAAGAGATCCTGTCCTTCCTCTTTGTGACAGCCTTTCCTGTTCTTGTAGAATGCATGCACCTCTCCCCTCAGTCTTCTCAAGGCTAAACATGCCCATGTCTTCCAATCTCTCCTCGTAGGGCTTTCCTTCCAGTCCCTGGATCATCCTGGCTGCCCTCCTGAAACCTTTCTAACTTGTCTGCATCTTCCTTAAACTGTGGCACCCAGAACTAGACACAGCACTCCAGATGAAGCCTAAGCAGTGCTGAGTAAAGGGGAACTAGTACCTGCCCGGATTTGGAAGTGATGCTTCTGTTAACACAGCCCAAAATAGCACCTGCCCTTTTTGCAGCCGCATCACATTGTTGTAGAGATTGTGATCTACAACAATCCCAAGATCCTTCTCATTCACAGTATTGTTGAGCCAAGTATTCTGCATTTTGTAACTATGCATTTGGTTTCATTTTCATAGGTGCTGAACTTGACATCTGTCCCAGTTAAATGTCATTCTCTTGTTTCAGCCCAGTGCTCCAGCCTATCAAGATCGCCTTGAAATGTCTGTCTTCCAGGCTATTAGCTGCCTCACCCAGTTTTGTGTCATCTACAAATCTAATATTGTTCCTTGCACTTCCTCATCCAGATCATTCATGAAAATCTTGAAGAGCTCTGGGCCCAGGTCTGAACCCTGCAGTTACTTGACTGAACCCTTGTTACCCTTCCCCAGTTTGAGAAGGTGCCACTGATGAGCACTCTGGGTCTGCTTCTGTAGCCAACTGTGGATTCACCTGCCAGTTGTTCCGTCTAGCCCACTTTTTGCTAGTTTGCTTATCGGGAGATCATGGGGCACTTTGTCAAAGCCATTGCTAAAAGTCTAGATAGAGTATGTCCACAGCTCTCCTACAGTCCATCAAGGAGGTTATCCAATCAAAAAATGAAATCAGATTAGTCCGGCAGGATTTGTTCTGGACAGAAGTCCATGTTGGCTTCTAGTAATCATGGCATTTTTTCAAGGTGCTGGCAGATGGCCTACTTTGTATTCTGCTCCAGATTTTTCCTAGGGGTTGATGGCAGGCTGACTGGTCTGTAGTTTCCAGGTTCTTTTTTTTCTTTCTTGAAGGTAGGGACCGTATTTGCCCTTCTCTAGTCCTCAGGCACTTCCTCCACCATTTCTCAGATAGTAGACACTGGTCTGGTTCTGAGAGTTCTTCCGCCAGCTCCTTTATGACTCAAGCCCTGGAGAGTTGGACTCATTCAACCCAATTAGATGATTCTTGACCATTTGCTTATCAACTTCGAACTGCCATCCTGCTCCATCAGCTTGTGCTTCCCCTTCATCAGGAAGGTCATAGATCTTCTTTTGGGAGAAGACGGAGCCAAAATAGGAATTGAGCACTTCTGCCTTCCCTTTGTCATCTGTTATCATTTTGCCATCCACACTGAGTAGCTGAACCCCCATTTCTTTCCTCGGTCTTTTGCTTTGGACATATCTGAAGAAGGCTTTCGTGTTGCTTTTAGCATCTCTCACTAGCTTCAGTCCATTCCTGACGCCTCCCCTGCAATTCCATGCCACCTGCCTGTATTCTTCCTTTGTAGCCCGGCCTTCCTTCCATTTCCTATTCATTTCCTTTTTGGTTTTCAGGTCATCTCTAAGCCTTCTGTGAAGCCACATGGGCTTCCTTTGTGGTCTTCTACCCCTTTCCCTTGCTGGAATTGTTTGTAAATGTGCCATTAGAATTTCCTTTTAAAAAAAAATCCCACCCATCTTGGACTCCTTTTCTCATTAGAGTCACTTGCCACGGGACTTTACCTATCCTTGTTCTGAGTGTATTAAAATGGGCTTTCTTGAAATCCAGGGAATGTTTGGCTACACTTGGCTCTGGCTTCTTTTAGAATCAAGAATACACAGATGGCATTGTCACTTCCCCCAGACTTCCTGTAGCTGCTGCTTTGTCCACCAGGTCTTCCCTGTTGGTTAGGATCTAGTCAAGGACAGCCACTTTTAGGGCAGCCCACCCTCCCGCCAGCCATGCCTCCCCTCCTGAATGCAACACATCTTGGGATGAACCAACAGAGACTGGGTTCACGAGCACAAAAATAAAAAATAAAAATAAAAATAGCAGCTCTGTCCCACAGCCTGTTCTGGGCTTAGCTATGGGTTCCGGGTATGCTAGGTGGGAATTCTGTATACCATGCAGACATACGTGGAGTGCCAACTTTTATAGAGGGCTAAATGTATCACAGCTGTTTGTACTTATGAGGTCGATATAGTTACCTGGGTAACGCATCACAACGCACTCTGGGTTAAACAACTCGTAGTTCACAGTGGCTCTGAGTGCAGTACTTCCCATGCCTTCTTTGTGACCAGTTTGGCAAACAACCCAGGAACACCCATTTCCCTTCCATGCCCTGCTCACAAGTTGTTCCTGGTGACTTGTAGAGCTTGGCTGTTGAGGGGGACAATTTGAGCCCAGCAGCACACCACAAGTTCTGGCTTGTTCAGAAACGCAGAAATGGATGCAGCGAGCAGGCAGAAGGCAACACGCTTTGTCCAATTCTGACAATTCATGGTTTAAATAACCCGTAAGTCACCATTATGTGTGAATCAGGTCGTTGAATAATCCAAGCCCAATGCTCGTAACATCCAAAGACTGTGAGACAACCTTCTTTCTTGTAGACTCTGGCCTGAGATCCTTTGTGCTCCCACTTGATACTTTTTTCTCACATCAGGATTGGCTTGGTCAATGCCTGATTTTATTTTCCTTGGGATTTTTTTTTTTTTAGGCCTGTGATAGTTTTGGTTTGAAGGAGTATCCATTGCTGTGTTTTTGTTAACTGTTGTCTGCATTGATGTATGCCTGACTGGACACTTCCATTGCTAAGAGAAAGGCCATGATATAAATACAATAATTCTAATAATATCAATCCTATTCATAAGCTAAAAATGTTGATTGATATAATACACAAATGTCTGTCATGCATGGAAACAAAGGGGGAGGAAAGACCAGGCATTAATAATATGCCAGGACTATAAACACTATGCCACATCCTTAGACTTGATTTTAAGTCTGATAGAAGAGAGACTGAACCAATGTTTTCACCAAAAAGCTGGGCTTCTGGTAAGCAGAAATATGTGAGGGTCATTGAGAAGTAGTTTTGGACTAGCAGTGCAATCTTACACATGTCTACTTTGAAATAAGCCCCACCAATTTTAGTGGGGTTTATTCTCCAGAATTGCTGCCTTAAATAGTTGAAACTGGGCCCTATTAATTTCACCAGGGCAAAGAAACATAAGGTTTGGATCCATGAACGGCTGGATTCATGAAAGGTGGTTCTTCGAAAGTCCTTCGGCCCAGTTTCGGGAGATTTCCGCCCCTACAAGTACAGCCGATTCCATTCAGCAGGGCCTCCTGCCATTCCGCTTAGCGTTTTCAAGGAAAGATGCATGAGGTAGGGACTCTCATTCCACCAGCCCAGTTGATCCAGCATAAATTTGGATCCAGCCCTTTCTTTATATATTACTCCATTAAACTAAGAATATGTTGGTAATAATATACTGAATTCCTATATCTGTCATAGCTTTGACTTCTCTGTTTCTGGGGCCAGCCTGCCACTTCATGCTCACCAGCGGGGCCATTCGTGTGCATATAACCAAGCATTTTAAAAACAAAAACAAAAAAATGGGTAGCCACCCAGTAGGAGTTCTTAAAAGTACCATTTTATTTTTATTTCAAAATACTATGTACAAATCTGTTAAAGCACACGGAGACACACTGCTTCCTGTCCAATGGAGCATCACAAGGGTGTGAACATTCCGAGCAAGAATTTTTAAAATCAGTCTCCATAAGACAATCCCTTCCCTCGCATCCTCACCAGCCATTGTACAAAATACTTTATGAATAGGAACATTTATAAATGTATCTATATTTGACATCATAGAAAATAAACTAAATATTCAGTTCTAAAGCCCTGGTCGCTTTTTTCTGTCTTCCTTCTTTGTACATTGTTCATAAGTCACAATATGTACAACTTAGGTTGGACTGTGTGACTTGTCAAACCAACCTGGCCAGATCAACCAGCCAGCCTCTAGCTTATATGCGCGTGCGCACGCGCACGCACGCACACACACACACACACACACAATTCATCAAAAGTGCACTTTAAAAAGGTGCCCATATTTCATGAAGCCTGGAATTGTGTCGTCCATTTGACGCTTGATGCTGTAGTAGCTTTTCCCTATTTTAATCACACCGTGCAAAGAACATCAGGGCAGAAACACTGTGGGCCACCTCTTCCAAAATACCCCGATCCCTTATTACCAGAATCACCCCCGCCACACACACACACACTATCCAGGCTAATTATCTCTAGGCACCCAGGTGTTTGGACTGTAGCGCCCCCAGTTCTTGATTTTAGCCTTGCAGAATGGGACTGATGGGAGCTAGAGCCCAAAACACCCAAAGGGCAGCCGGTTGCCTGCCCTTCCCACACATGAAATTCCAAATGTTTTGCCCTAAAAGCACAGTGTAGTTAATGCAGGGGTAATTCACCTGATAACGTTTTCATTCTGAGGTGACGAGGGGGAGAAGGAAATAGGTTTGCAAGGGGTGAGGAGGTCTATGGCCCACTGTGCCAGTGCAGGGTTAACCCAGGTCATTGCCGGAGTAAGCAGCTGCAGAAAAGCTATGGGGAAGGTTTCCAGATGTTGGTCTCCAATCATGGCTGTCATGAGAAGTGAAGTGAACCGATTCTCACCTCAGCAGGAGACAGAACATGCCTTTTGGTAAATGGCTTTGTCCTTCCTTAAACCTGGAGTTTGGGGCATCACTTGTGTGAGAATAAACGCACGGAAGCAATTCCTTCCCAATAAAGTGCATGTTTTCAGAAAGGCCAGTACATGTACAGATACATTATCAGTGTGGGCTCTGAAGAGGTGCTTTTAAAAATACCCATTCCCACTCTCAAGGAACAATTTTGTCATTGCACCTTCTTTGGATGCAGCTTCCTGCCCTTGTAAGGACCTGGCTTTTGAAGCTGCATCTGGGGCAGCCATTCCTAGCAAGCTGGTGGCTGTAAGAACCAAACCAAAGCTGGTCAGTGGTCTTGGCAAGGTGGACCACCTCAGCTACCTCAACCCAGGTTTTAAACAAAAGGTACTCAGCTGCAGTGCGTCACTGTAGGATAACATCATGAAGGATACCCAAGTATGTGAAAAATCAGACTTTATGGAATCTCCAAATTATTCCCTGCAGACATGGTAACCACATCATGTATGTTTGAGAGGGATATTTCTAAAATTAATTTTGTGAGCCATCTGAAGGATCTGCTTTCAGGAAAAGTGGGTCAAGAATCTGCCGTTGGCAGCCTGCTAAAATAAGGCCAGACAAGTTTAAATGTCTTCTGCTAGGTCTGGAGTTGCAGACATGTGCACAGAGAATGTTAATCCTGTCTCTAAAGCTCCCAAGTGTATTGAGGGGAAGGAGGACCAGGCCTGGTGCGACATCTCAGAAGCGGAGGGTGCAGCTGCAATAAGCGATCACAAAGGTAAGTGGGTGAGGGTTGTGCATGCAGGCTGCATTTTCTCCAAAGCTCTTTCTCCGAGTGTCTCGTGCCAATAACGAAGTGGGGACGGATGCGCTGCTGAGGGCTTGCTTTGGAAATATTGGCACCGGAAGTGCTTTAAAGTGCATGAAACTAGGACAAGAAGGAATGACTCAGGGAGAGGCTGTGCTTGTGTGGCCATCCTTTCCCAGTCAGTCCAGTTCAGTGTCAAACTGGGACAGGGTAGCATGTCAAACTGGGCATTTAGCATGGCAGGGTAGGCACCTTTGCTCACAGTGAAGGTTGATGCTCTGCGTTGCTGCACTGAATCTCTCCTGCTGAAACAAGATGGGCTGGTGGGACCAAGAGCCTTGTGTGGGCTTGAAGACTGTGAAGTTGGATGCACGGTGAATGTGCATCTTTAAAAATAGTTGTGGCTCTATATCCTGACCCAGAACTTGAGTAGTTTCTAGGTCTTGTAATTTTCTCCCCACAACGTCTTTTTTTTTTTTAAAAATAGTCTTTTACCAAAGGGCAGCCTCTGCTTTAAGTGACCTGAGCATTTTCGGCTTCCTAAGAAGGTGCGTGTGTTCGGGATGCGGTGAGACCCTTGTCCTGAGCTGGCCTTGCCGAGTTGGACATTTACGAAGTGTATTTTGTTGAGAACCCAAAATACACGAATGGGCCAGGGCCATGTAGCTACCTCAGTTGTTGACCACCTTTGCCACTGCCTATCTAACCTGGCTGAACGGGGTTTACATGTAACAATAAGCCATAGTTTAAGCAACCCAGAATTCACAACAGCAGACCATGGGTTCTTTTTCTGAACTACTGGTAGCTAACAAACCATGGCTTGTAAGTGTAGATGGATTCACACAAGACAAAGTGGAATCCAATAGCCCATACCATGAGTTAGCATTGTGTGCAAAGCCAGCCATTGCTTAATGGTGCCTTTGTCAAGCTGAATCACAACTGGGGTCTGTGAAACAAGTATTTTATAGCTGGTCATTCTCCGAGACCTCACCGGCTTTGCTCTGTGGGGATGGGGGTGGAGTGCTTTGAAACGAGGCGGTGCCTGGTAGTGCCACACCTCCTTGCATGCCCTCCAGGGACAAAGCTGTGTTCTGCATTCTTTGAAATGCTGACTTTAAAGTTGGCATGTGGGGCTTGGTGCCTGCCATGCAGAGGACCAAACAGAGCACCTGCATCCAAGTTTCATGTGCATGCATCTCATTTTCTTGGTGAGGATGGAGGAAGGGACTCAAGGAACTGGGTGCTTCGTTCGGTCGGTCGGTCGTTCGTTCATTTGGACATTCACAGAAGTTTCCCATTAATATCTGCTCTACCCAAGTCCTGCCATGGCTTTGCGTTTCCTCGAAACTGCTTCTCTGGACTAATGTGAAAAAGGGAACTGGGGATAGCTCAGCTCTCTACCCAGTCAGTCCTTCTTAATGCACAGCTGGGGTTTGTATTTTGCCTTGTGTCAAAGCAACACAACCCCTTTCTCCTCCAGTGGTTACATTCTCCTTTTAAAGGACAACAGGAAGAGCTGAGAAGGCTGCTCCCTTCAGGCTTTCTGCAGGTATGGACATACTGACCTGGTTTACCTGAGTCAACCCCCTAGAATATGATCTTTCTCTTCAGCAAGAACCCACAGTTCAATGTGGGTTATGTGTTTGAACACAGCCATGCTAATTAACCATGGACAACCTAGGGTTCACAACCCAGTAACAAATCATGGGTTCTCTCTGTAGCTTGCTTGTAGTCAGCAAACCATGGTTTGTTAGCACAGCTGGGTTCACACAGCCCCACAGTCCATGATTCAACAACAGACGATGGTTGTCATGTGCCGTGAAAAACCTCATAACTTACAATCAGAGCAAGCAAAACACACCTGTGACTGTTTTTCTAAGAGAACATGTAACAGTGTGTAGGCACACGCATGCACACACACATCACAGAATCACAATACTGGTAAGGGGAGAAACAAACCCTTGAGCACAGTGTTTGATCTGCTGCCTGAGAACCTTCTGCAAACAGAATGACTTTTGAATGATTGTGGCGCTGCTTTCGATTTTCGTTGGATGTTGCTGAAGAAACCTGCACTGATGCTAGACTGAGAACCGAAGAGCCAAAGAGTCTTTTCCTAACAGCCAGAAAAGGTTTTGTAAACCAGGCCCCTAAGTGCAACCCTTTTCTTCTTTCCATTAAAAGAAATAATAGCAAGCATCGCTTTCTGAGCCTAAGATCTAAAAGTTTTGCAAAAACAAAGCAAATAGTACCCCTAGCAGTTATAAGTATTCATTTTCCTTTGGAAACACAAAAAAACAGTAGGGGGCGCTTTGGTATACACACCCACTGAGGAATACAACTCTTCTCCCAAAATAAAAAGTTCATAAATATATAAACACAGTTAAAGTGACAATTTACAAAAATACAATTTATTGCTAATGCTACTGACTTGCACCCCAGCAGGTGTCCTCGTTAAGTAGAAATCTTCACTTTGCCAAATTCTAGCATGCCAGATAGCAAAACCAGAAAGTTTGCTTTTGTCTTTGGATGTCTCATAACCCCACAGAAAGGTTAATTGGACAGAGAAAAAGGGAGGGATCCTGCATTTCATGTATATTCATGCTAAATTGGGAATAAAAGTAGATGGGTTTAGAAATCTGCACTTCATAACAAAAATAGGACAAGCCTTTTGTACACATCGTAATTCTAACTGTGAAAGGAGCTGGTGCATAAAGTAGTCCAGGCAAAAGTGGTACCATTAACAGTAGCAGCATTACCCAATTATCCGAAAAGGATAAAAAGGGGATTGAGAAATAGGATCAACGGTGGGTGGAGGGAAGGTGGGAGGGGGTGTGCAGTCATCCACATGTGAACCACGTTATCAAAATAAAATCGATATACATCTCACGCACACACATGCACACTAGAAAAGTCCAAATAGTACCCTGCTGATGGTAGTAGTTCAGGCTGTGTTCACAGTGAATTTCAGCAAAGCGGAGCAGCGGGGAGTCCCCTGCTTCCTACCCGCCCACACGCTTGCAGAAGTCTTCAGCGTCGGAATCAGATGACTCGAAAAAGGACACACGCCTGCAAGCTGGAAATCCACCAACCATATCCTCTCTATGGCTTTGCAGCAAAGGCTGCGCTCTCCTGGAAATGATTCATTCCCCGCGTGGGCCAAGGAAGTTTTGATCTGTACTTCAGGCAAGCACAGAATCGAACCTGCCAGTGAATATCCTGGCTGGCAGGAGCCTCTGTGCAGCCTTGCTTCCAGCTCCATTCACTCCCACAAATACCGCCTTCTCTGGACAGGATCTCGAGGCGTTCCAGTGGCGCACGGTTCGCGCACTCGACGATGCTTCCCTGCTGGAGTACAAGTGCCGTAGGGCTGCTCTTCACCCCTGCCAGGGCCTTCCTGGGCTCCACCACGTTTCGCCTCAGTGGGAGCCTCACCCTCCGGGTGCCCGTGCCATGCTCGCGCCCCATCCCCTCGCCTCCGGGTGCCACTGCCTTCACCAGCCACAGTCCTCAAGGTAGTTGCATTTCAGGTTGGCCTGGCAGGTGGCGGTTCTGGGCCTGCGGATGCTGGAAATAGCTCATAGTGGCATTCTGCTGCAGCAGGTGAGGCGGCTGGAAGAGCTGGGGGTTCTGGCCTGGCTCAGCCGCACCTTGCATCTGCAGAACAATGGGACAGCCTACTTCAGAGCCAGGCTCATGCGCCTGACCTCGGGGCAGCTTTCCGGAGAAAAGGCTGCCATTCAGAAATACCTTGCTGGGCTTGTATTGCTGCCATCAGGAGGCCTTGCTGCTTAGCCCTGTTGGGGGCCACAGCACCTAGTTTTAGGAGCCCTTGAATCTGGAGGTTTCATTTGGCCAATGACCATCTGGACCCACCCTTCATGAATTCATGTAATTCTTCTGTTCAAGTAAGAGTTCATCTTACTTAACACAGAAACATTGAAACCGATGGAGCTTCTGGTTAGATGTGGTCAACTGAAGCCTCACTGCTTTCAACAAGTCTTCTGACGAAGTCTGACAACTCGTGGTTCTAACCCACGGAACACAGAAGAGCCTGCCTCATACCGGGTCACTGGACCATTAGGTCTTCTCTCCCAGGGCCGTCTGTGCTGTCTGGAAGGGAATCTCCACGGGTCCCAGCAGGACTGGTTCAGCCCTGCTCTCCAAAATGCCGGTGATGGACCCAGGCACCTTCAGCACGGGGCGCACCCCTACGCTCCAGCCCACGGCACCCAAGAAGAACGCTGGGTGCCGCT